TTACTCTCTCGTTCATCTGTCTTGACCTAGTCTTCCTAGATCCCCCTTTCTCTGGAAACAAAGTTGCATTGTAACAGAAGGCAGTAATCTGCAGAAAACAGATACAAATACTAGCACATTCTGCAATCCAAGACCCTGGATGTAACAACTGTCACTCCTGCTATCTCCCTGTCACAGGCCAGTGTGTGTATGCTGTGATGCTTAACATGGCAGCTTTGGGGCAAGAGGTTGGGAGAGTTTTGTGACAGTATCAGCAGATTGGGGTGATGCTATGGCAATGCTGAGATCTTATCTGGTGAGCTCTGGCCGTTCCTTTGGAAGTAAATGTATTGCCTTTCCTGCTGCAACTGGGCAGCGTGCCACCCAGGCCGACTGCCACACCATGAGCACTGCAAGCACCGGTTCTGGGGACTTGTGAGACTGTTCTATTCACAGTGAAGCTTTTATTTTACAGAAGTGACAGAAAATGATTGCTGCATGGCTATGACTGTCATAATGTAAACAAGGAAGGAGAAAGTAAGGTACTTCCTGACTTTGCACAGGTTGGCTGAATTCCAGTATTATTTGTTTGACACACTAGGAAATATAAACGTGAACGCTTGGAAACTTGCATCATGGTCATGCTGATTACCGCTAATGGAATAGAAATTAAGATTGAACACTTTACATCCCATCTTGCAACAACAACCTTTATTGCAAACGAAAACCTCAGAGACGTGTGCTCTCAGATTAACTGTGCAAGCCTTTTCTGGTATTACAATTGGTCTGGTCTCTCTGGTGTTGGTGGCAAGATTCCCATGGACCTCAGTGGGACCAGAACATCAAACGTAGCCCAGGACTGAAGAGTTCTGAGGAACTTCTAGCAAATCCTGGTATTGGTGGTCTACGGAGAATGGCTGCCAGCAGGCATGGGCTGTCAGAGATCAGGATTCAGCACGTATCACTGGGGCGATCCCAAGTTGCACTGTGACCCTTCAATAATTTAGAATTTAAATAGTTCAGAGGGTCCCTCTCTCAGGTACCCTGGAACACATTGCAGAATTCGAAGACCTAAATCCTAAATTAGCTTAATGCCCCAATGGCATGCCCTGCAGATGTGCTGCATGTCTTCTAATAGGCAAAGCGGGGATTCCCCCTCCTGAAGTCTATTCCCAGCTTAGTTGCTCACAGACTCACTAAGCAATTGACTATGTAGGAGCAGGCAAAGTATTTTATCTTTTCGTTATGCGTCAATTTAACCATGGTTAGAACGGGCATAAGAGAGTCTCGTGGATTGCTCTGAGGCACAGTCGTCTTTCCTTGAAGCCCTCCAGTGATAGCTGTTGTTATACATGCACGTGGACTTGTTCTCAATAGAGCTGGGCCAAATACCCTTTTCCTAGACAGTTCAGTAACCCAAAATAATCACCTATACTACTTGGAAGACAGTAGGAAAATGTGGCAGTATAAATTATTAGTAAGCTGCTACTGCAGAGGCCTAATGTCAGGAAAAAATGGCAGTGGCTTGGCATTATGTTACACTGAACTGGACAATTTATCAGAACTATCGTCTTTATAGATGCATTTCTAGTTGGGTTTGGCAGTGCTAAGTGTTTGTTTCATCTTGGTGAAAATTGGATTTAGTTTCTTTAAAGCTGAGAAAACATAGGAGACATTTTTATAGTGCACTTTAGAGCAAGGTGAAAGAGATCTAATTTTAAATGTACTGTCTCCTGTAACGGTTCATGTCTACAGACATGTCTTTCACATAAAACCGAACGATTCTAAGTTGAGAAAACTATACAATTTAGGCTATTCTGGTGCATGAGAGGCACCATGAGGAGGCATATATTATACAGTAAGTGTAATTCAGGCACTGTAATGTATCAGGGTATCAGCTCTGTAAAAACAATCACCTACTTCTGCCTTGTTTCTTTTGAGGAAAATCCTTTTGGCCTCCCCTCAAGCCACGGTTTCTCTGCTGCTTGCTACCCTGAGCCCTCATTTCCTGACCTTACACAAACGTTCCTCAGCCATATTCACTTCCCAGTTTCTCTCACAACCTCAAGTGCCACATAAAAAGGTAGACAAGCAGCTAGTTTAAAATGGGACTCTGAAAAAACATTCCCCCTCCTCCTGATTTATTTTGAAGTGAATTAAGTGCTGGATCAATGGTCATCAGACACTCATCTTTCAGTTTTGTTACACTAGCATACATCTTAGAGCTCTTTTTCATACTAATATAGTAAGATTTGGGGACTCTTTTTTCTTTCTTTCTTTCTTTCTTTCTTTCTTTTTGTTCCACTGAGTGATCTCAATCCACCACCTGCACCGTGCTGTGGTAACTTGCTTTGGCATATTGCATACACATTCACACCCATTATATACAACTTGGTTTTATCAGCCACTTATGTTCTTTTCTAAAACATATGTACAAATCTAAACAACCCATTTTATATCAGGCTTGAGCAAGTATGATAAAATACACGTCAATTTAAAAACTATGCAATACTAAAGCATGACATATTTCAGACTTACTCCCCTCCTCCCTCACCTAATTATAGTATTAATGAGCAACACGCTGAATTTCGGATGAGATGTAGTAACCACAAGAGATCAGATTCTTGCACAAATCCTATCTCACATTGCAATGTTTGCAGTATGAGCATATGTAACTTTTAATCATACAAGTTGTTCACCTGAAGCCAACGGTGCTGTTCCCGTTTGGACTCAGGCCTGCTACAAGAACGTGAACTCTGTTGCCTTGGTTGTACATGACTCCAGATTAGGCTGAGGACACACTTCTTCTGTGTTGCAGTAATTTGTCCTGCAGTTCCAATTTAATATGATCACTTATCTTTTAACAGTTACTGTGCACGATTAAGCAGCAATCCCATGGCACTTAAAAGTCATTTTGTCGGCGTGGTTAGTGAAGCAAGCCTATTCTGTGGGCAGAGGAGGGCTCTGAAATGCAGCTACAACCCTGCAAAGAAACCTATTTATGCCAAGTCGCACTAGGGACTTTTTTCATTTAGATTAAAGGATCAAGCCCTTAATATTTGAAAATACACAAGAAAAATACAACAGTGGATCATTGAGTATGAAGGTTAATAAAAATATAGCCTGGCATTGACATTAAAAAGGCTCTAATTTTTCTTCACAGGTAATTAGTTCACACAATGAAATAATCTCCTTTCTTATCCTGGCAACACATGCATAAAGCAGCTCAGATAACATCATTTACATACCGGCTGCTGCATACGCATGTTAATGTCTAGCAGTGAAAAGTTCAGACAAGTTTGTAATCCCAGATTTCCTGCGCGTGCTCAGCACCCAGATTCCCAGAAAGTCAGAACAGAATGAGATACTAAACATTACTAGAATGACAGGTCAGCTGTGGCTTGTGCTGCATCTGGACAGCTTGCAAGTTAGGCAGTTTCCCAGACCACAGGATTTTTGATAATTCTGGTTATTTTAACATCTGGGGTCTTTTAAACATGTATTGGCATTTGTGTATCACAGAGTTTCTTTTGCCAGTCACTTCTGCTTATGGCAATCAGTCTAAGCCTATTGTGTTACCTCCACTTGCTTTGTCTGGGTTACTATATTGCTTGGTATCGGAACCAATCTGCATTCCCGTTTAAAGTGCTATCATGTCACCCATCAGCAATCATTTGCTTTCATCCCTTAAAGCTACTATACAATAGTAACCACGCCATGAGGACAAAAGCACAGGCAGAGAGAAAAAAGAGGAAAGCTAAGGCGGGAAAGCAGCAGCAGGCTGCTGCTGCTGCTGCTAGGTTAACTTTGTTCTTCTCAGGTCCTTCCGGTTGAGTACTTGAACTTGGGCTGATAACGTTCACGCCCTTCATCTTCTGCTTCCCCTGTTAATGCAACTTACTTCTCCAGCGCAGATACTGCAAAGAAGTTAAGACTGGCTGCTTCTGTGTTAAAGCCAACAGGCAATAATACTATTTTTGTGGCACAAACCAGTGAATCTGTTTCTAGTGGAAGCTTCACTGTGAAAAAGGGAAGAGAAGCCTCCTATTGCAGCAAAACTGTTGGCAGCAGTTGTGGAACACAAATCCAGCTCGCTGGAAACCTTTAAAATCAACATCAGATACCCCAACTGGGTAGAGGGAGGAAGAGGCCATCCGACTAGCAGAAGAAAAAAACAGTTTGCTGCATTCAAAGACGCAGAGACAGTATCGGAGAGTTTCGTAATTGATTAGAAAGTCTGGAGTGTTTAGACTTGAACTTGAATTTGCTCCTTTGTATAAACATTCTCCTAATAGTTTAGAGCCATCAGCTGTAAAAAGATCTTAGATCTCTCAGACTACCTATGATTAGTTGTCCAGAAATACCACAAAAGTTTGGGATTCTGTTCAAAGGTGAAATAACTGGAAGTGCTCTAGCCTGGAACTGGATATACTGGGAGAATTGTATGATAACTCACAGCCGAGCACTTCCCTGAGTCCAAGGCTTTGGACTCCTACCTTTCACAAACATGCCCTGACTGTGCTTCTAGGGCTCCACAAAATTTTAGTGAGGTAAAAATGAACCAAAGTGTCATGACTTCTGCTCTTCTTTGTCCTAAGTTCTAGACAACAGAAATGAGGAGGAGATTTGCTAGGTTGTATTTCACTGATTACGTGCTATGGAATAGCTTTATGAAAATCATGAAATAAAAGTTTTAAACAAATGCTATATGAGTTCAGAGTAGTTACCTTCCCATACATGAAAATAATCAGATTATATCAGCAATTATCATTTTCCCAATGTTGCAATTCATTTGAGTATTAACCAGTTCCCCTTCGCTAGTACAAACTAAATGGTTATTTTAACTCACGCCTGCTACCTTGATAACAGTGACCAGTACCTCACACATTATCCAAGCTTTTTTCCTTTATTAAAAAATTATTATCTGTAGACATAGTGGTACAAAAAATAGTCGTTGCAAATATTATAGATACAATGATATAGGCTAAGAAAATAGACCAAAACATTGTTCAAAGGCTCTTTCCATCAAAATTCCAGGCTTCCAGGCAATCTCCTAGCTCAAGAAATGACAACTTCAACTAGTCCTCACTCATGCACATATTTGCTTTAGTACAGTAACTGCCCCTGCACATGTAAAGTCTCTGAAACAGTCTCCAGACAGCAAGAAATCAAAGTATCATCAGTCACAAACACCAGGAAGAAGCTATTAATCAGAAAGTTCAGCTGTCTTTTTTTGTATCTGTCCAGATCAAACCATTACGATGTTAAAAAAGAGAAAATGCAGCAGCCACCAATGGCAGTCCCCAAAACTGGTAGATGAACATGAAAATACAAAAAAAATACACTTTTCTTTAAAGGTAAAAGAATCTGAAACATGTTCTTGTTGGTGAGTAGGACTTTATCAAAAAAAAGTTGTGCAAAACATAATGCAGTCAGTTACACATATAATTAGTGTCAAGACTGAGCAGAAATTCATATTAAAAGGTGATTTTTATGAGTTTAGAGGTGTTGAATTTTGCAATCTTTTACAATCACTTTGAAATTAATGACGGTTTTCTCAAATTCTTATGTATTTGTTTGCACCTAACAATGTTCAACAACGTGGCTAATACTTCAGAAAACACCAACAACTTTGTTCTTGCAAACAGAATCTATTGCTGAAAATAAAGGAGACTTATACATCATTTTATTTGCAGCAAGTTACTTGGAAAAAGTAGGTGCCTCATGGTATGCTTTGAGCCTCATTTTTTCAAAGATGCTGAGCCCCACAGTTTTTGTAAGCTGAAGCTAAACATTGGTGACCTGGATTCAACTGGCCCTATTCTTACACAGGGACAGCTGTTGTACGGGAAAGGCATTTTTTTTCTCTATACAAGTTATGCAGAAGATTTTACATGTTGAGTTGAGAGTGGATTTAAAGTTGCAGAGGAGAGTTCTGAACAGCAGCAGTCACCTCGCTGTGATTCAGGAGAAACACCAGGCGAGAGATGAGGATTAGTATTTTTTGGAAATTCTCAGTGACCAAGTCTCTAGGTCTTAAGAAGATTGCACTGCTTCTACAAATGAACTTCAACCTGCAGGGTCTTCAATTCTTAGTAATACCGATTTTGCCTTCAAAAGAGAAACAGGGTGTTTCCATTTTTAGTCTCAAACTCTTTGAAGTATTCCTTTTCCATTGAACAGGGATCTGGATAGAATTTGACAAAAAATTCATTCCGTATTTTAGGTTTGGTTTCAGCAATAAAGAAGTTAATGAGATCACATCTGTTTTTGTCCTGTTACACTCTACAGGAGTCCACTGCAAACAGCACCATTTTCTTCCAGCATTTTCTTTTATCCCAAACAGAAGCTAACCCGGCCTAAATACTTTTCTTAAACACATCCGTAGAAAGACTGCCACATGAACCAATTAGCAGCCCTCCTAATGATGTTACTTACCCACAGTTACAGTGAAGAGATGCTTACAGTTTCACAGCAGGAGCTATCTAATACATTTAGATAGATCTCAAAAGATTTTGTTTGGTGTATGACAGAGTGGAGAAACATCACATAAAAATACCCCAAACTTATTTCCACAAGTAATATTTGAATATTGACACATCTGGAACAGCTGGGTAACAAGTTGTGCGTGTTAAGTAGAAAGCAGCTGCTTTTAGCCTTCATTTTGGGCCAAACCTTTGCTTTCAGCCACCAGCATATTCCATTTTATTTTGTAGCAGCTTCTTCAGTGTTCCCATATGGAGAGGCTAAACAGCTCCAAGGATATAACTGCAAGTATATATAGCGTTCTTCAGAAAAAATGAAGGCCAGATGTTGCTTTGTTATCTTCACGTGCATCCTTAAAAAAGTTAAATTAAGTTGCTCCAGATATATTATTAAGGCCAGGTATAGGCAATTTGTTCATAGGCCATTTAAATGTCAACTTTCTAAATGATGGAAAATCACATTTTAACTGAGGATTCAAACGGAAATAAAATGAGTCTACCTCAGAATAACTTCATAAAATAAGTACAGCAGAATCCAGGATTACAGGGACAAAAAATTATAGTACAGAATAGACAGGGTGACCTGTTTCCGAGATCTGAATGAGTACTATTTATGGTTTGTTTTATTAAAAAAAGAACAAAGTACCTCATTGTTACACTATAATGCAAAGTTTGGGGTAAGACCAGCACAACCACTGATTAAAGATCTTTCACTGTGCTGCTCTACTCTCTCAGGATACTATATAACCCACCAGCCCATATGCTACAGAATCCTGTAACTCTATTACTGACAATGCAAACCATTAACGTTCTTCATGTAGGTACTCCTGGTTTTTAATTTTATTTTGTTCTTTTTAATTTTAATTTTTCTGATTGCCTGAGAATAAGACCTTACTGTACTAGTTTTATGATAGATTTATTTGTAAGAAAATTTTTATTCAACTGAAGACTACTTTTCCCTGTTCAGTAGTAACAGACACAAGGACTGGGTTTCAAATGCCCGATGAGTTCTTTCTCTGTGAGCCAGTCCACAACAGTTCACACACAAAAACTGCCAAGACACCAACTAAAACTTTTTTGAGTAATGTCACTTTATTAAGGGACTTAAGAATCACATTCTGTAGTAGTCTTGGAACAATGCAAATGGTGAACAAAAGACAAAAATAGATGTAATTGGTTCTGAAGAGCATGAACATCTGTAGAGAATGTGTTGCATTATTCCTAAGGACTCTACTTTTGGAAAAGAAGCACATATTCTGTATATACAAGTGTCAGTGCAATAGCCAATAAAGCAATCAATCAGAAATATAAAAATACCCTAGATACAAACATAAAATAGATGTCTGAAAGCTGACAGTATCAGCATTTTGTTATTTCTATAACTCAGGAGCATGGCCACTGGGATGAATTATTTTGATGAGGTAAGAGACAGAAGATGCTCTGTGATAACACAAAGCAATACATTTTTTCCATAAGAGACAAAAGATAGAGCACCCAGTGAAATTTCAAATCTTTGCTACAAGTGCCCACAGGAAGCAAAACTATAGTCTATGAGTATTGCCGCATTCCTGTATCGTCTACTTTTGCTGCCTTTGCCAACAATTATACCTGCAAAAACTTGACAGTTCGTCCCAATCTCAGGATAAATTGCACCTGCTTTGCAGGTATATCAAACTAGCAACTCCCTTAAACACAGACATGCTCCATAAATGTCCAAAAACCACTTAGTCATTCTTTCCTCAACTGACTGCAATTCTTCTCTTGACAGCAAGGACAAGAAGAGACTGCAAAGACTGACAGGTGAAAGAATCTCTTTTAAAGTTTAGAGAGAGAATAGGGTGTGCTGTATTTGCTTTGCTTTGCCTCAGGTATTTCAGTGGTGCCGGTGAACTTAAATCTTAGCTGGTTGAGCTATAAAAAAAATCAAGCTCCTTGTGCTCACTCAGCCTTGGATGTGTGGATGGACTAATCTGGGGCTACTGTTCCAATAAAGGAGGAAAGGCTATCTGGCCAAATTGTCAGCTGGATGCTCTCTGTGTGCATCATGATTCATCCTTCCTTCAGCCAGTCCTTACACTATAACCCTCCAAGCTCTGCTGCTAAGTTCTGCCTCCTATTTCTTGACTTTTCAAAGAAAAGTAAAAAATGACAGATAGGCAGCGTACTTTATGTCTCTGCGTGGCAAAGCACCCCAGGAGGAACTGAGAGCAGAGCTGGGAGTGGCAGAAGAGTAAGAGGAACACAACCTCCTATTTTATAGGGGTAGTGATAAAGAGTTAATTTCAAACTGCATGTCAGACCCGGGCTCTCATAGAAAAGCAGAGTGAATTCTGTAGTCTCCAGTACCTTCAGATGAACTTTAACAGGATATGATTTATATAATGGAGGAAAGAAAAAAAAAAAAAGCACAACGGGAGCTGGCACTCTTCTTATGAAACTTTCCTTACCACTTATGGCACACACATGCATGGAAGCACAGAGCAGTTGCTTAAATCTTTAAAAGATTTCTTATCTTGATATCCTAGATTCAAAAGCTTTCCCTTTAAATCTTTTCATTTTTCATCATTCTTTTCTAAGCCTCTTTGGTCTCTGGCAAATTCAGACAGCCGTGCGAGATGGAAAAGTGAGGCTAGTAACATCTGTAGCATGATGACATCTGACAAATTATTTCAGGTTTTCTTTTGCTTCCTGAAAGATGCTTTGCAGATGTCAAAGCCTCAAGGAATCATCATACTTCTCTCCCTAACCCTACTGAACGTGGCATTCAGCATTTGCAAATACTGAATTACTTCTCACCACACCCCAGTGAGACAGGCTATTACCTCTCAGGTAAACAGGCAGGCAATGGAGGCACAGAATGACTAAGTGATTAACCCAATGACATGATACAAGCCTGGGAGAGTCAGGAGCTGAACCTGTATTTCTTGTGTCTCAGTTTCAAGTTGTCTGTGTTCTGTGTTGCAGCCTTGTTCTTTCCCGTAGAGGAAGACTGGAATCTCTTAAAAGTCTGTCACTGCTACGCTGGTTGATAGGTGGTGTCGCCAGTGAGATAAGAACTGTTGCATTCCCCACATCAAGAGGTGGAACACACCATTATGACAGCTGTCTGCTGGAAAAAATACTAACCGTACAAGTCCTTAAGAACATCAACATTTATTTAATATGATATAAAAGAAATGAGATATGAACATTTGCATTTGAACAATAATAAGCAGCTTCTTATACTTACATCAGCTGTGCTCATTGTATAATATATACACAATGAACATAATTACATTTGTACACAAACTAAGTACTGGATTCAAAACCTGCTTATTGCTGTACACACCCTAACCCAACAAAGGAAAAGCCCAGTACCTCAAAATACCTACACTCCATTTTATTTAAGAAAAAAAAAAAAAAAGCACTAACATTAATGTGTATGTTGACAGAAGTGTGGCAGTAACTGCTGACATTGCAACCTGACTAAGAAATAATTACAGCAGAAACAGGACATATTTTACTAAGCAATAATAAAAATGGCACATTTTAAATATATCTATATGTATATATATATTTATACATATAAAAATTTTTACAAATAACATGTTAAAACAATACTTTGCAGCGTTAAAAAGTGTAAAACAAGGTTTAGTGGTGATATGTAAAATTAACTGATTTATTATGTATCTAAAAGAAGCAAAAAGCAAATTTCTATGATCCATAATGAAAAGAACACTAAATTCAGGAAAATTTCAAATAAAGTTCTAACTGTATGCTGGACATTAAAAAGAACCTTTATTTTATGTGCACAGAAATCATAGCAGCAAGCTGGTATCAGGAGAACAATCTGAAGGTTGAGTGTACGTATGGGCCATTTAAAGCTCTCTTGGAATAAACATTTTCCAGGAAGTGATAAAATGATGCTCTGTGGCCAAAAAGCATCAGAACTATGAATTTCATAGATTTAAAATATACTGTACAATATCTTCTCACATTTCCATAGGTCAGGTCCATACATCTCAGGCATCAATTGTTTCAACAGAAGCCGTTAGTGCTGAAAGACAGACATAGATTAAGTTACTCTATTTTAGCAACAACGGAATATTGCATAAAGAAACTCCTGGGATTACACACAGCATGGAATTTCTGACCTCACCCTAGCAATAGTTATCAACAATGTATAACATAATAAAGTATCTTAGAATTAAGTTGTTTTCAAAATAATTTTCCTCATGATTAAGGCTGTCAAAATACTTTGACAGCAAGAAATAAAACCTTTTTTTTTTCAAGTGCACACATCTCTATATGAAAAACAGTTTACTCCAAGAGTTTTATCCTACTGCACATTGCCATATCCAAGTGTTCTTCATATGAAATCAGTAATGGCAAAGACCTTAATTGCTTTCACAAATGACAGACAAGGTTTGAAAATGGATTCAGTATTATTCATTTGCTATTCTGTAATGGGAGTGTAGCTGTAAGGTGTTCTGCAGTAGGACTCCACCCAGAGCTAGCTGCATTTTGGTAATTGCTGAAAGGACTTCTATAAATAACTTTAACAGTTCATTAGTAAAAATGTTTCTGAGCTTTGGATCCAGGTGCTGTATAAAATTTCATTATCGCTCCATTATTCCATGTAAATGCATTGCTGAAAATGTAACAACGTCAGTAGTACACACCTAAATTTGTCTCTGCAATGCAAGAGCTGTGACAAAGAAAGTAGCTTTATGTTAATGCATTTTTTCTTAGTCCTAGAATATCCTATATCACCCATTTCCTATGCCAAATTCTGCCGGCATTGTGCCAAGAGTATCATTTTACTAATTGACCATAAAAGCTAAATATAGGTATTGCCTCATTATTCTCTGAAATCTACCATACATTTTCCAGATGCCTCCTGAAAAATTGGGTCTGGTAAGAACAGGACTGATCCCAGAGCTCCGATGTTCCCTCCGCTGCATAGGATTTCTTGCCCTTGAGAGAGACCAAGTCTTGAAAAGACTTCCCCTCCAGCAAAGCGCTGGAGGTGCTGGGATGACGGCCCCAGAAGGCCAAGGGCAGGAAACACTGCAGACTAGCAGACTACATTCATGTATCTCCTAGGTATACTAGGCCCAGCTCATGGCATCCATTTGTTCTGGAGCTCCAAACAATTAACAGAGGCATCGAGTGTAATTAGGAAGTTTGCAATGTATGTGCACAAAAGCTGAATAGTTTTTCCAGCTCTGTTCAAATACAAAACCACCAAAAGCGGTATATTTAACTTTCTGAAATCCTTGTTCCGCTACAGCGAGGTGCGTACAAGGAGAGCATGACTTTTACAAGTACCAGCCCAGGGATGCGTTATTTTGTCATGAGCAATGATGTTCTGTGTGCAGAACCAAACTTCAACTTCGCTTATAGCTACAGTGCTATCAGCGAAGATACATAACACCGTGGGATGCCAAGGGCTGGGCATTAAGCTACAGAGCTGATCACTATACCAGCTCTTCACCTTTGCTAATCTCAGATTTAGCATAAATATTTAAAAAAATGAATTTGTGGATCTGATCACTGGAGCTGATGACAAGAGCTGGGAGCAACTTGACGCAACTGGTAAAGAGTTTCTGGTGAAATTATAAGCTGCTCCCCTTCAAGATAGGCATGCTCTGCCTACAGAGAGACATCAGTAGTGCTGTTCCAGGCTACTGACCTGGAACTGAGTTGAGTGGGTAATGTTTGTCCTAGTTAAAAATAAGATGCATGATAAATGTGTATTTATATAGTGAAATTAAAAAGCATTAACACAATCAGTATTTCCATAACAACTAAATAGTCCCACTAATCAGTTTTAAATACTTCCGTAATAGCACTTTTGAACAAAAGCGTTAACTGTTCAAGCCAGCAACACAGGTGTCAGTACTGAATGCAACCTTTTTATGAAAAAGGGCAAAAAGACAAAGATAATTTCCATTTTGTTAAAGAATAAAAATAGTTTCCTGCCTACAGTTCATACAAGAAACGACTCTATGATGTATAGTAAGCATATTTTTGCAAAGATTAAAGCTTGGTAATATAGACTGGGACAGTAAATAGGAAAATGCATTTTAGACCTCCCCATGCTAAATCACCGAAAACTTCCTGATTTAAATTTTTTCCTAAATCATATCATCCTATGACATTTAACATCACCATTGAAACAAAGGCCATTCTTTTAGTAGAAAGCTTATTTAAACAGGTGCTCCCTGACAACAAAATATGTTGATTGATTTAAACGCTGGTAAAGTGCCAAAGCATTCAGATTTGTATCCTACTAGTTTCTTTAAACACCTGTATAAACAAATATGCTTACTTATATTTCCACTTCTATTCATCGAGTAAGTAATACTACAGGTAAGAATATGTAAATCTAGTCAAACTCATGCTTTCTAACTTGATTCCTGGAAGAAATCATCTGGTACGGAAAGGCAAGAGAAGTTGTGTAGGGCTATCTCTGTATGGGGGGGTGGGGGGAAGGGGGGAAAAAAGGTATTTTTGTAATTGTTACACTTCTTCCACCCTCATTTTTCCTCTCCTACTTATCGTGACCCCCTTATCTGTGTCTTAAAGCCATAAACTCTTTGGGGCTTTATTCCAGTGATGCCCTCCTATGCATCACTTAGAGCGAGCTCTAGCTCCTGTGGCCCATTACACTAACAGAAGGAAGCATTACAGTTCATTTGCACCTGAGCACTGCTGCTCCTACCTTAACTGTATACTTGCTCTGTAACAGCTTAAATCTCTCATACATTTCAGCAAAGGGCTATCATCCTGCCATGAGAGGAGTATGTGCTTTATAAGCCAATTAGTCCTTTCTCTTTGTATTTTAATACAGAATACATTACTTGCAAGGAGATCAATACATTTGTTTTGCTTTGTTTTTTTTATTTTCTGGTTAGTTTGTATTCAACATTGCAGATATCTTTGTCTTGCATAATACTGTCTACAGATGTTTCTCAGACAGATAACTAGAATACATACACTCAAAAATATTAGGAATATGGCAGGAGGGGAGGGAAAAAAGACGTACTTCTCTGTAACTATACACACATGAAATGTGATCCTTCTGTGAGCTGGGGTTTGGTAGATGGAGCTGGTGACAACGACGATTCTGGTGAAGAAGGCAAACCTTTCACTGTGAGTCATACAGCAAGATAAATATGAATAACAGTTTCAGCAGGTAAAGATTAGCTTGAATTCAAGATTCCAAGCCATAACAACATAAGCTTGAAAATCACCATTTCAAGCCATAAAAAACAGAAGCAGAATCAAATGAAAGTTACACATGTAAAGACTTAAAATAGGATCTTTTTAAAAACCACAGCACAATGAGTACAATTCAGAGAAAAACGTTAAGTTCTTCTCAAGAAAGATCATTATGCAGACTTATAAGTGACTAGTAGAACACCTAAGGAACAAAAACGGGACATATGAAAGCTAACGTGTTATTTACGTTACAAAGGGAAGAATAATTTTGACAGAATATGTAAAATTTAATTATTCAGGATACTTCTGGATTCACCTTTATACTCCTAAACTCAGATTAACTACGCATTTCTTATTCTACTTGACATTACAAAACGTATTTACAAGTTCTGGTTTGGATTATCAAGTCACAGAAAGGATTGCTCACTGCACTACAAAGGTCCAGGTCACCTTTTAAATCCATAGACTGCAGCATTTGGCTTACGCAGCCATTCCCCCCTCACCAAATATTCTAATACCGCCTAAAATTGTCTTCCTTCTTCCTCCTTCCCCACATGCTATCCTTTCTTTTTTCTCTTTGCAAAAACAATTCTGCTTTATTCTTCTGGTTCTTGCAGACCGTACCACCAGTTGTATTAGCAATTGGCTAATGTTTTCTGCTTCTACACGTTTTCTTACTTCTGAAAAAATAAACAGTGGTCTTTTATTTTAGTTCATAATCTACTGGACATACTGGAAACTCTTGAGGAGTCTTTAATCTTGGCAGTATTTGAGGCAACCCATTAGCAAGAAGGTAAGGCTAAACAGTGTATACATATCCAGGATTAAGAAGCTGTTCTACACGATGAATATGGAAGGATTTGCTCCAACCCAAACCTACAATCTGACTCAATTTCTGGCAATAGAAATTCTGGCAAATACACATCCCTAAATTAAATGTATCCACAAGATCTACATTAACGCCTCAGAACACTGGACTTTCTGTAGTTATCCACTAGGAAACCCTTTTTCTCTTTAGGTTACCCAAACACATATTCGATTTCTAGACTATGTCAGTACTTTTCAATTTGCAAGGATTTCAGAACATCAAAAGATATCACCAAAATGAAATAAAACTTTACATATGTAGTTTGTAAGTCGTGCTTCAGTCAAGCTTTTTTTCATACCTGCTGTTGTCTGATTTCCTTTTGAAGACTGTGCTGCTAATTCAAATGAAGAAATTATTCCTCCTTGTTCTTGAACGCTGACTACTTCACTTTCTTCCAAACGGGTTTTGGGTTTGTGGTTGGTAACTGTGGTCACACTCTGCAGGCTGATATTAAAAGCCCAGCATTTACAATTCACTCTAACTTAATTTCAGGTGTTAACCACTAAGTACAGGAGTTACAGTTTAGCTTTCTTCTGTTAATAGAAAAACGTTGCAACTTGCAAGATGGTGTAATATAAGTTAAATACGTATTTTGAAACCTTTCTACCTTGTAAATTTAGGTTCTTAAAAGAAGAACTAAGTACCGTTAGCCAAACTCCTCTCCTTCACATATGCTCACAGTTTCCTACTACACAATACCTATTTCACTGAAGTGGGATGTTGTGAAACAAGTGAGAAAGTGGTGACCAAATGTAGAAACTCGCTTAGGATTTATAATGCAGCTGTAGAATCTATGCAATTTATGAAGTTATGAATCGTTAAAGAGAAATATTTGAGAAAGAGGAATATCTGATATATAGTATTTCTCTAATTTTGCTATCTCCCGAAACAGTGAAGTAGAAGTTAAAGCATGAGGTGTAAAATAAGCCATTTAGTCTGCTCTTAAATATGATTACTCAAATATTAGCAAGAAAGAACTTGCTATGGTAGACTATGACCTTGGCTGAAGCTTTCATAATAAAATGATGCAAAGCTTGAGCTAACATAACTAAACACCTTTTGTATCCCAAAGCAAGGATTATGAACATATTCTGCCTATAACTGGGGCAACCCAGTTATACTACTCATTCCACCTACTCACTACCTCTTACTGAACCCTTACAGTGCTTAGGTTTCTCACTGGATTTCTCTATAAGTAAACACCTCAAACATATAAAGATACCTTATAAGTGTTGATGATGGTATTTCTTTAGCTGCTTAGTACTTTCAACTAACAAATACAACGCGCAAGTTTAAAATAGCCCCTTCACATCTTGTTTTATTTTTACCTTATATCACCATCATGTGTTTCTCCTGATTTATTTTTCTTTTCCTTTTCTGCTTTCTCTTCATTATTCACTTCTTTTAAGTCAGATACAACATGTGCATCTGATAAAAGATCATCAGTTTTTGTCAGCTATAAAAAAATTGAAATCGTGAAACAAAAAGCTGTAACACATGCTAAGTGGTAGATAAGAAACACCGTATCAGGAAATAGTTTTATTAACAGACAAATTTTGCCATCATGTATACTTAGTAACTCAGAATTACATAACTTAAGAAATTTTTATCAATACCATTCAAGTTGATAAGAGTTGCCCTGAAACATATACCACAGTCAATGAGCAGGACTTGGCCTAATAGCTTCCAGAATGTATCTGAGCTCTTTAGATTGCAGCCCATGTGTTATTCTCACACTATCCCAATCTTAACAATGCCAACAGAAATTCCACCTGCTGGAACATATTACTGATGAGCCTGAAGGCTGCTCTTAAAGCTCTGATTAGATACAACCGATGGTAGCATATCATGTAATACTCCTTTAAAAGATTTGACTACTTAACATAAAGCAACAGGCTCTCAGTAGAAAGTGCTTTTAAAGACAAAGAAACCATAAGGAATAACAAATGTTAATCATCTAATTTTATACTATTATCCATCAGAAACACGCTTTAAAATGTCAAATAAAAATAGGCAAGCAAAAGGAAAAATGAGGGAGAGAAAGGAAAAGCAAAGGGAGATTAATGAAAGAACATGAATAGAAAAAGAGGGAGAAAAAATTATACCCAAGCAGATTTAAAAACATTCAATTGCAAGGATTACGTGGGAAAAGCTCCAGTAAACTTTGCTCCTCACAGCCAGCCTGCTCTTACTGAGCGTTCAGGGCATTTCAGTACCAGACACACCAAGGTAACGCTGCCAAGTGAGTCAGACTATTTTGAGACAGGCATCAATCTGATGACCAAATAGCACAAACTGCAATTACCACCTAGCTTCATGTGTAAGTTACTGTGTCAGCTCTCTTCTGCTTCTTTTAAAGAATTTGATGCACTGACGTCAACCACACAAAAGTCAGGTGTAAGAAATGACTGTCAAAAAATACTGCAGTATCTTATACAAAGAACAGATCAATGATTATTAGTTAAAGATGCATCAGAATGGGCTTGGCTTTCAAAGAAGCAACTCTTAAAGACCATTCTATCATTTCTCCACCAATTAAGAGATGAAGAGTTAATGTTAAGTGAAATGAAATTAAAAAAACTACACACATGACTAAGAAAAAAAATCAATTCCTCAGCAACAGATAGATCTGATACAATTTTGCACTATATATGTTGCACGATATTGATAACAATTTTGCACTATAAATGTTCTATAGAACACTTGATACATACAAAAAGATAGCTTAATCTTCCAAACAAAATTAATTGGCCCAAATCCCCACACTCTGCTGTTTGTGATTAAAAATATATATATTCTACTGTAAGATAGACTGATGAACCCTTCAATTAAGCACAGTTTAGTACCTCTTCAGTAAAATCTGAATTACGTTCCTGTGCTCCATCATCTTTTAGTTGTGCTGTTTCTTCTCCAGGACTGTCATTATTTTGTTTCAAATTATCTTTAATGGCACTCTCTATGTTACTAGGTACAGTATCATCCTTTTTTCGACTCTGCAGAACAAAATTGATATACAGACACTTACTATTAAAAAAAAGTTGTTATTACAGTCTAGGTTCTGGCTGAGTCTTGCATCGTCCTCTCCGAATGTGATAACAAATTACTTAAGAAACCTTAAGCATTTGATCTCAAATTTTCTCAGTGACATTCCATTGCAATACATACCACAATCCAGCAAGCAAAATCAAAATTGTTTTTAAGAACTCACCTTTGAGTTTTGTAATTTTTTTGTATATTTCAAAGCTGCCCAATATACTGCAACAGTGGCATAAAGTAATATATACCTTAGGGAGCACGCTTACAGTAACATCTTGCAGTAAGGCTGTCTAACCTTTTTCTTCTGCGCAAGATTATTGTACTTTACTCCCAGAAGCTCCATCACTTTTATTTATCACCTTTATATTCTGTAATTTCATTTATATTTAGCTCAGTTACATCCAGGTTTAGTACTTTTCTTATTTAAATCAGACTCACTTTTTTAATATTTTTTCCTGATTAAAAAATGATTGATAAAAACCTACTTCTACAGTGCAAAATTTATAGCACACTTGCATGTGCAATCTCCAATTATCCTGGTTTATCTTCCAAGACTGTACGGTCAACTGATTTAACAGGGGACACCATAACATCTGATACTAGCAGAGCATTAAGTGAATGGTGTTAAAACCTTAAAACCTTCCACAAAAAGAGCTGTTGCAGAGAGCATAAAAAATGACACAAAATTTTTGAGGAAGGATGGTAGCAGTGTCTTAAGATTTTGAACTGCAAATATTATGCTGTCAGAATAGCAAACCCAATTGAACTTCATATAAGTCATCAAACTAAGTACTGGGATGGAGAAATATAGGAGCCATGGAAGAAGCAAATCTTGTGGTTCAATTCCTGCCCGATTTAGCACATGCACTCTGTTAAAGAGGAAATTCCATTTAAGCCAGCTCACAAATCAACCTCCTACATTAAGTATGGCCTCATATCGTACACTTGTCCCAAACAATAACAATTGTTAACCGACTTCCTTTAGTATTTTGATAAAAGTAAACGATATTAGTATCAGTATTCATAAAGGATACTAATATCTGCTTTATATAATACAGAATGTTTATAAAATTTTTTTTTCTCCAATTCTTAACAAAACTCCAACTGAAAAGACTTCCAGCAGTTAATGCTATTGTATCATTTTTCTGTATGAAATCAATAGAAGCATAGAAACTATGCCTTTAAAAATAAGAAGTACTAATACAGTGTAATGCCTCACTTTGGGGTCCTTTACCAAAAAAGGTATTCTGGAAGAATAAGAAGTTGCCATAGGAAAAGTGATTTTATAGCATGGACTACTAGCTAAAGATCTAATTCACACACATTTTCACTTACTCTGTAAATTTCTCCTCTCATTCACATAGCACTGATTTCACCCAGAAGACTGACGTTCATGCCAACATGAACAAAACTCTTTTGAATTCTGTGTGGCAAGTGGTGCTGCCACATAGGATTTAGGGTTTGACCACTTTCCCACTCTGCTTCTAGTGTAAACGAGGTACGACAAATACATGACTGTTAGCTTCCTCACCTTCAAGTCTGAAATGATACCTAAGGAAAGTGGTGAAGCTTAAACACTTGTGCAAGACTACAAACAGAAACTTATGCAAAGCCTTGCTTTGCACTTCCTCTTCATCAGAAAGGCCACATTATTCACAAAAATATTTGAAGCGGCCAACCTCCTCATACGTAACATTAATGACATCCTCTCAAATACAGATGCCGGAATGCAAAGGTAAAACTTGAATTCAGTATCTTCTGGCAATCCAACCTTGTTGAAGGAAAAGTAACTTTCATGTAGCTCTGAAGACAGTTTAGCACGCTAGTTTTAGGTTAAAAAAAAATAAAAAATAAAGAAACCTTAAACTTATTTGGAAATAAGCGACCTCTTAACAGTGCAATGCATTTAACCTTGTTTTGGAGAATCAGATGTGAAAACATATGTGAAACATGAAAGGAGGTATTTCCATGTTATTCTAAAAATATCAACAGCAGGATCTATGAGGCAAGAAATATGTTAGAAGACTAAAAGGTAACTCCTAATCTCTTGAAAAAGCAAACATGACTCATTTCTTAACTCAGCTGTTGCAAAGTAGCAGGCTGCATCTGTAACATGCATTAAGTTGATTGCATTTCTGTTTTTGTCCTGAAGGTGTTTTTTTGCTTCGTTTTGTTTTCAAAAATGTATTTAGGTCAGTATTTCCTGGCTAATAACAAGCAATTATTTCCTCCACCATCTCCTCTCTGTCCACTCTTACATATTTAACAAACTCACTGCTTCGCCTTAATTGTTTAAGTATGAGTGAAAAAGAAAGTGAAGATTCTATTTTTATGAATTTATGGGCTCAAAAAAACAAAGCTAAAGAGAACACCATGTAAGAGCTATGGTGTTAAAATACACATTCTTACCTACAAATATATTATAAAATCATTTTTACAGAGGTTTGCATATATTATATGACAGATAATCTTCATGAGTTATACTTTAAATGAATTATGATTCTCCCTGACACTGTATTTAGTGATAAACCTTGTAATTTCACACTGTTTGTTAAATTTGACAAAAAAATCGTAACTGTTAATAAACTTCACAATTCATAATCACATATATGTAATATTAACTATTTATTTTCAAAAAAATATGGTGAATTCCACTATCATTAGGTATAAACACGGAGACTGTCATCTCCCTTTCTCTTGTGCCTGGTAGAGAACTGCAACTCCTCTTCTATATGAACAGTCTCAAATAGGCACACACAATACTATGCGACTTTGGAATAAGAATAATTTCATAAAAAACTTTTTTTTTTTTTTTTTTTACTGAACACATTAAAAGTTTTTTTTTTTTAAACAACTTAGGACTCACCTGTGTCAACTTAAATGGATTATCTCTGACAAAAGACAGGCTCTGTGAAGGAGATTGCTCTGAAACGCCAATAATATTCAGTCCTTTTCTCTTCTCTCTTAGGCAAGCTTGTTGGTGCCTTTTTATTCTTTCCATCTGTTCCTCCACAGTCATTCGAGGCCGAGTGCTTTCTGCAAGACACAACTGCTCCACTGCACTTCTTGGTCTTTCCTTAAATGGAAGAATACTTTTTTTTAAAAAGTGCAAGATTCTAAGCTGTTCAGCTTATCAGAAAAGATCACCTAATGATTTATGGAAAAGCAAAAAATAGTTGGCAAGAAAAGATCTCCTATGTTTCCAAAGAAAGTACAAAAAACAATGATTAATAAATGAACGCTGACGTTCAAAATAAAAGGAAGGAATATGTATGTATATTTTTAACAGTGACATCATTACCAATGATGAATGCCAAGAGAATGGGTAGATGCTTTCTTAAAGACATCCTATCAAGTTTAAACAATTTATCAAATGTTATACCACAGTCAAACACAAGTTACTTGATTGAGACAGAAACATTACTGAAGTTTAATGATCCGTGACATTTCTACCTGTTGATCTAATACTCCCTTCTATTTTTTTATTCTACAGCTGGACATCATTTAACAGCAAGTTGAAAGTGGTACTCTTTCTTCAGGCAATATCCCACTACGTTTTCTCTCCTCTCTCCTTCTTCCTACAACTTTTCCTCTTCTATTTCTTTTCCAGCTATGGCAAAAGTCCCCCTCTTGCCTGAACTGTATGCATTTTAACTCTGCCTTCAATCCAAACGCTGCAGGTCTCCCTGATCTGAAATTTCACACTTAATACACACATATTGATCACTGTATCCTTTTTGTCTGGCTGCCTTTGGTTTTTCCCAAATCACTTTTGCAATAAAATAAATAGATCCCAGTATTTATCATATAGATGTTGCTCAATTATCCCTAAACCTAAAGATAACTCCTTCAAAAGTTTTAATAGAAGATGCTTCTCATCGTTTCAATACAACACTGGGGACGACGACTCACTGCTGCCGTGCTTAGTCTAATAGCAACTGTAGTGATGACTCTCAGAAAAAACTGAGCTTGAACTTCAGCTTTCAGTTGCTTAGCAGATTTATCCTTGACGCTTAGCTCTTCATCATTTTGAGTGCAATGAAATCTCTGATTATCTCTGACCATATCTGACCTTTACAGTTTTGTCATTCTTTGTATAGCTGTCTCCACTAATACGGTATATTTTATCTTACTTCATAACACTGTGATTTTTACGTAAAGGAAATGAAAAAAATAGCTACAAATTTTTAAGTAACTACAGAAACTAAACTTAGGAAATTAACACATCCATCACTATCCATCAATGACTGAAAGTACCGTTCTTAGATCTATCTTCTTATTCTTCCTTAAAGTGACGTAAGAAGCTATTGTTGAAGATTCTGGAGTTGGTGATTTGGTTCTAGGTGGTACAACTCCCACAGGAAAATGTGAGCCTGTGAAAGAGTAAAATAACATACTAAGTGCTTGGCAAAATATCTCCAAAAGAGTTTATGATTTTTTAAAATTGTATGTTGTCAGCCCTGGAAACTGCTCCTGGCTGCTAAGGTATGCAGGCAGATGACCAGCCTCTGGCTTGAGGTTTAGCTAACCAAACAGAACATGATAAACTATTGGACATAAAAATAACAGTGAGACACTGATGAAAGTTACAGATAGCATCAGGAGGAATGGCTACATTTCACAGAAGGGGAAGGGGGAGTTATGTGAGCGATGGCCAAACTTCACAGATAACTGGAGTGGAGCATTGAGGACCCTCTGGGAAGCAGAACTTGCAAGGCCAGAAATGCCTAAGTAACTGTATCAGCACAGCACATAAAGCCAAGGTTACTTAGATAATTGTATGAGAAACACAAAATTTCAGTATCAATGTAGCAAAAGTGGGACAAGCGAGGTAATTATGTGTGGGCTATTTACTTGAGAGGAAACAAATACAGAGAAAGGGAGGGGTCAAGGTGGACAGGGAAGAACATGAATGGGAAAACAGGAGGGGGAATAAAAGGGGCCAATTGTGCATTACCAAGCTGCTGATCAGTATGCTTGCCTGGCTAAGCCCCATGTCTGATTATTGCTGTCTATCCTATCTTTTTATGAAACTTTATTCCTAATAATTTTCTGTGTACAAGTGTGTGTGAGATGCTAGCAATCTTCAAGCCAGACCACCTGACAGGCAGGAGAAGATATGTGGGAGCCAGCTATAGGGAGATCATAGGGCTGGCAGACAGAAATGGGCAAGACTGAGGGTCTGCGAGCTGGCTACCAGAAGCACCACAGCTCTGGATCTGCTACAAGAAAGACCCATTTGTCTGTGAAATGTCTGTGAGGCAAGACTAGCCAGTCAGCAGAAGAAGAGGTGTGGGAGCCAGCTATGCAAGAGACCTTAGGTCTGGCAGTCAGATATTGCTGAGGCTGGGGGGCTCCAAGAGTTGCCTACTGGAGATACCATAGGTCTGCTGAGCTCCTGGAGGGACTGTGTGTGCGCATCTGTGCGTGTCTGCATGTCTGTGCGTGGGTGCATGGGTATGAGATCAGCTAGCAAGCTTTGAGCCTGATTAGCTGGTGAGTAAGAACAGAATTGGGCTGTTTTGCTCCACTTTTATGGATGTGATGTTTGTGTTTTAAGTGTTTTTGTTACTCTGCTGCTGATTGGCCACATCTGCCCCGAGAGTTGTGCCTGTTGGGAATATGCGCTCAGCCTTGCTACTAGCTGCACTACAGACGGGGAACCGCAGCAGCCTGGCTCTGTTAGACTGGGATCAGAGAAATCTGCTGGGTCTTGATGTCCATGACATTCAACATCCCTTAACCATATCTGCCCTTAGTTTTACTCCTTAAAGAACCCCTGCCAAAATGTAATTAACCTGGTAGAAAACTGAAGCACGTTACCACAAATTATATATATATATATATATATATATATATTTAAATAGCACGAGCTCCATTTCTGCTTCTTGATGCATGCAGGAAATGAAACTATTGAGAAAACTGTATTCTGTCTCTGCCTAAAAAATAGCTTTGACAGACAAATTATTTATCTTTGTTTTTGCTGGAGAGGCCGCACTGATTTCAGAGGATATATTAACTTAATGAAGGCTTAACTGTTTCTCCAAATTATTTGGTAGGAGTGACAAAATAGTCTGGAGGTATTTGAAAGCCAAGCCTAGCATTCAAAACAAAAACTGTAGAACAACAGTTTGAGTCTCCTTTAGACATCAAAAGGATAAAACACTGAGCAGAAGTCCGTTTTTCTTGTGTGTCACCTTTATGTACTATTCAGGTCATAAATTTTCCTCTGTTTAGGGAGAGCAGTATGGGTTACCTTACATACTTCCATTAAAATGTTCTTCTTTCTTGTTGACATTTGGAAAGAAACAGAGAGGGAAGTGACTGACAGCAGAAACATGAAAAGTGTCCAGTACAGTCAAGTACACACAATAAGATGGAAAAATATATACATTTTCCCTGAGATTTACTCAATTTTAGAAGCACCCACACCAGGAAGCTACAGTCATTTAAGTATGACTCCTTAAAACAGCAAGAAAAAAAACGCTTCAGAGAGATGAGCTGCCTTTGAGTTTGTTTCCTTTTTAGCTTGTAAATTGTTAAGACAGAATGTCATAAAAAGTTATTTGAAACAAGAAGTTGTTGTTGTAATGACACATACACTATAACAAACAGATGAGTGGCTGTATTTTTCATAACACATGGGGATTAGTATTATTATTACGTGATACAGAGAACAAGAAAATATGTTCTGCAAAAATGACATGCTCCCAAGTGTGGACTAGGTGATAATACACAGCTACAACAAACCCACTTCACTCTGTTGTTTAAAGATAAAGAGTGTCCCCCCACCTGCTACCACTGCAGCTATTCTTCCCATCCCCCAAATAGTATTTATATTAGATAGAAATATTTATATTATTGCTTCCTCTTACTGAGGACTGTTTTTTTTTTTTTTTATTTTAAAGACGGACATAATAAAATTACTTCTCTCTTTACAGAACAAGATAAAAAGCAGACTAGGGTGCTTAAAAAAATATCAGTTTGCTTTATTTAGTCCAGGAAGGCTTTCTTGTGTTGTCTTTACTTTTCCTTTCATCCTAAATGTCTATAAATAGCCTGGAACACCATAGGTCAATAAATCTTAGGTATGTCATCAGAAAGGCAACCGCCTCAATTAACGCAGCTGTTGATTAGTAAATCTCAGGCGAAACCTTGCATCTTTCACCAGCAGGTTAAGAGAGATTTAATATCCATCTTAAGTGAACATTACATCTCAGCATATGCCATACTGAATCTGAATTGAGCAATTTAGGAGCATTTGTCTGGTAAGTGCAAGCTTAATTAAAAAAAATGCATTACATCATAGAGCTATTCACCATGTTTTACACCCAAGCAATACGCTGTCCTTAGTTTTAAAAAACCTCCACAGCTGTTCTGGTGAAAGTAATACCGTTACCATGACCACAGTTCTTGGGTCATATTGAGGTACCGTTACAACAGACTACTATCTATGCACAAGCTTAATCACACTATCACAACAGAAGCCAGCGATCATGTTGGCACGGGAAACGTCAATCCTTATGGAAAGAAAAGGGGTAACTTTAGTTGCTTGGTTTAAAAGACCTTAGTATGGCTTCTGGGTGGTGCTTACATTGTTAAACTTGCAACTGCTTTTCCTGAAGTCACCTTTAACAAACTATTCTGTGTGTTTTAACAAACAGAATTGAGAAGCACTTCCTGGTAAAGAACTCTACCAAGCAATTAGTAGCTTTTAGAGAAGCTAGATGAAGAGAAGAATCTAAAGTATTTAGCAATTGCAAAGACCTTTATTGTCTGTACGCTCCAAGGTCATGATCATTATTCCTATTATATCAGAGGACAGAAGGCAATTCAACAATTACAAGATTAAAAAAAGAAAAAGACATTGTTTTCCTGCCTTATGAGAGTCTGAAAATTCTGTGGTGCTGCCTTTTTGGACGTTCCAGTGACATAACATTGGAAGCTTGATTCAAAAACTGAATAATTGTTCAAGTGCAAGGACATAAAATGGGTAATTGTTCAAGGGAGCGGTGTGTGGGGAATGTGAGTGATGTGATTAGACATGGTGTCAATAAGGATTTCAGGGTTGTTGGTGAGTGTAATGTTTGATTTTTCTGTGGTGTAATTGACTGAAATCTTTCTCGTCATATAATTGAATCATTAATTTATTGTGGAAGTTGTTTTATCGTATTAAGAAACGGACAAGCTACAAGAAGTATGAAGGACGACAGAGTTTCTGTAACAGTTAAAGCTTTGTATTCCTTGTGAAAAAGGCTGAAAGATTGCCGACAACATGCCTGGAGACAAACCTTTAGCTGTAGATTCTGATTCTGAAATTTGTTCCATCTTTTCTTCTCCATTAGACTCATCCACTTCTGCTACTGTAGTTAACTCTGGTTCGCTCTTATAAAGTCTATAATCAGGACCCTGAAGAATGACAAGTTAGAAAGTAAATACTCTGGTACTTTTGTACAAGAATTTATGTCTTAAGATTCAAAATGGTTATTCTGCTGACGACTTTGCTCTCCTTTTTTAAGCCAATGTTTCACCATTCAAGTGCTGTTGCAGTGGTATTCCTTTGTAATGAATTTGAGTGGTAACAGTTACAGACTTTCTGAAATTATGAAAGAATTTACCATAGAGCGTGAAGGGAGAATTTTTTAAATGATCTTTAGGAATCAAATTTGTATAAGGCTTCACATATATGGTTTCCAAGCCTAGAGTTTTATAAGAACTTGTGAGGCGAAGGGTCTGATTTTCTGAAATTTACTCAGACGCAGAACACATGCCTTTAAGTCTTAAGACATTTTAGGTATGACAGCATATATGACAGGAAAATGTCAAAAGCAAATGATGGAGCTATAAATAAAACCAAGTAGCCAAAAGTAAAAACATAACACAGAAGTGGCCGGATGGTAAAATAAAAAATTGTGACTGTGCAAAGGAAGGGGGAATGCTTCAAGAATAATGTGGCAGTTTAAGCCACTTACACAGTGAGATCCATTTCTCTGATATCCTTGAACTTGGTGAATCTTCTTTTCTTCTGGCAGATGTACTGGGCCCCTGCTATAACAGAGCAAGGAGCTGCTATCACTGGGCAGAGGGGGGATTATGGGAGGATGCTCTGTAAAGTCATAGGACCGAGGGAGTGGAGGACGAGGTGGGACTACTTCCTCTTCCTAAAGATTGTAGAATAGTCACCTTATTTAGATGTGCACACCTGTTACAATTATTTATAACTTAAAAATAAAAATATATTACCATAGCTACACCAGCTTTAGTTTTTTGAATTAAAGGGACAATGTCAATTAAAAAAAGAACAAGATGATTTTTTTTATTGCTACTATCTAGCCTGAAATACTTCAATTGTTTCACTCTTCAGCCCATTCAGGTTTTCAGTTCTATCACCTGTACTTTCTGATGGACATGTATGAGCTCTCTGAATCATCATTTTTAAAATTAAATTCAGTATCTATTTAAAGATCTGTACATACATTAGATTTTCAAAAAGTTTTGCAAGTCAGATGTATATGTACAATTGTACAATTTAGATAAACACGACAATGTCCCTTTAAAACGGTAACTTCCAGCCAGATTTTCAGAGGAATTGAACATTTAGGAGCTCCCACAGTTTCAGCTGCGGTTGTGGGTGCTCTGGCCATCTGAGAACCAGGCTCAATATGTGAAAAGACATATAAAGCAATGTATATCTTCCCATGAAAATTGTGGTGGGGAGAAAACAAATCTAAAAATCAGGGTTATATTTTTAGGGTAAGAGCCTGGAGAGAGGAAAAGGTGAGATATGGAAAAAAACATACTAGTGAGAATATAAAAACAAAGAACAAATGAAAGTGTTACAGTTACCCCCTTGAGATATCACCCTTTAAAACTAATCATAATACAATATTTTTATGTAAGCATACTGAATATATATTTCAGATACCCTTAAAATAATAACAATAATGTTGATTATTATCATATGTATATTAGAAATTCAGTGTGCTAAAACAGTAAATATACTAAAATCATACCTCATTTTTATACTTAATAGCTGAAAAGGTCCTTGATCCAATCATGCCTGTTTGGGGACAAGAAGAGGGAGGGAAGAAAAAATTGTTGACAATAAATAGCTTCCAGAACATGTTAGCATATTGATAGCAACATGTAACCTGTTGCTATCAAACAAATGTGCAAAACATTAAATTAGTTGATTGTATTCTTGCTTTCAGCAATTGTACCACTAAAGATTTTCCAAAAATACAAAAGCACATGTGAAGTCTATCCTTTAAAAGTATACACAATCGAATCTCACTTCCTAAGGAATAAAAATGACAAGTTTACCTGCTTCTGAAGAGCTCCTTTGTTGTTTATGTTTGCTTAGACCCTCCATGACATCTTGAATTCTCCACAGTTCCTTCTGAATTTGAGCACGCTGTATCCCTGCTGACTCAGTCTGCCAGTAAACAGAAAGCATATATGGGCTATAATTTAGAATACATTTGGGGCAGGGAGAACCTTTTTCTTTCTGTAGATCATATGACATTTCTTTTCCCAATGAAGGAAAATAACGTGCAATAATGACAGGCAATCTCCTTTCCCATAAAGATATAACATTCAAATATTGTCAGAAACATCAACTATAAGATTAAGTCATTTCTAAAACACAACATACCAGGTAATTTAACAGCAATTTTCTAGTTGGAACTGCACTTAAGACTAGAATTATATCTACTCTTTCCAAAGAAAACCCAAGCAAGCTTTGTACAGGAGACCTACAAATAATGAAAGAAAAGCAATCATCCCTTCCAACCTTAAGACAGGTGGAGATGAACATAGTGTTGCATGCTGGCATATAAACTGGGGTCCCAGTTGCATTCATGGTTATGCATGCTCTGGGTTGAAGGATTTGATGTTCTCAAATTTTACAGCTCTTGGGCTTGCTTGTAATTTCTCCTCCAGAGAGGCACAGAAAATCAGTCCCCAGAGCAACTGGCCTCTAATTCACCACTGCATGGCCCACACTCATCCACATACACAGGCTCACATGTGTGGGGTTTTTTTGCCGACAGAAAGATCTCTGTCAAAATTCAGAACTTACAGTAACTGTCCAATCCTCCAGAACAATAACATCATAAGGCATATATTAAAAGTATTGCTGCATGAAACTGAACCAAAGCTTAAAATATTTTTATTATAAGTTATTTTTGATAGAATAGATTTAACTACATTCTTACACATGCAGTTAAAAAGAAAGGACTTGCGTGAAGAGTCAACAAGTCCGTCATAACAATTAAGGTCTGAAGAAATGTCCCACTTTTGGGTACCATCACTATGACAGAAAGAAACTAGCTTCAGAAAACAGGAAATATTAGAGGCCTCCCCAGCCCTTACAAACTTTTAATTTCATCTCATGCCTCGCAAGTGAGCGTCACACGTCGCCCTTTTTCATTTGTACAAAATTAATCAAAAGCATAGAAAACTTAAATGACTTAAATGTACTTTAAAATAAGACCTGTGCCACACCTGAATTTCTCCAAGTCGATCAAGTTGCTCCTGCATATGGTTCCTCGTTACTGTTACATCATACTCTAATTTATCATATTCTCTCCAAGCTCTTTCCAGTTCCTAAGTGTATAAACAGAGAAATGCAAGTGCACACTCAAAAAAACCACCAAGGATACTTTTTTTTTCATTTAATAGCATAAAATTTCAGGAAGTAATTCATAAATAGATACCAGCAATAAATAAATACATGTTCTAGGGAATGTCATGCTTAAACAACTTTTTCATTTTCCAACGATGCTGCATGAAATTAAAGCAAACAGTATTTTGGCATCTTCTACAAACAAAAAGATAGGTAAGGGTGAAATTTTAATCAGAGTACAGCCTTTACATACACCAGGTATGTGGGTCTTAAGCTTGCTTTCCATGGAAGCAAAACCCCACAACAGTAGATGCAAATGTGCTTCTCTTATCCCATAGAACACATTCCTGTGAGTGTAAAGCATGTGCATGTGTATGCAACATGTTTTATGTCAGACAAACGTGAGCCATCTAACCCTGCCTGTGAGTTTGCCAGTGAATGCCCTAGACTTACTAACACACCATTACTTTACATATGCGAAACTACGAACACCAGATGGGAAGAGGCGCAATAAAAAACCTGCACTGAGATCAGCCCTAGCATCTCACTTTTCAAGCCCGCATCAAGCAATTTTCTCAAATTAGCATAAATTAAACAGCTGAGGCGGGAAAGTATATTTTGAGGATTCCCTTTCCTTCCCCTACTGCTTCCATTTTCCTCAGCCAAACAATACCTTTCACAACATATCTAAGGCTCCGACTGAAAACAGTACTTGAGGGCCGACTTCCTATCAGTTTCACCGCAACAAACCAATGGAATTTGAAACTGAAATATGTTTTGCATATTGATGTAAGTGGGCAAAGATGATTCTTTGCCTTGTCTTCTCAATGAAAGGATAGTAAACAGATATTCCCTTCCTTCCATTTTTTAAGGTTTTTGAAAGTGCATGACATGAAAGATCTTTGAAATGCACTGGCCCACCATAAAGAGCGATTCTGACATCATAATCTTTCCTTCTTTTCATCCTGTAGCTCTTTTTGTTTAAACAAGTTACACAAAATATCTGATAAACTGTATGTTTTTATTATTTTGCCACATTAAATAACTTACACGTTATTTACTTGCTCTCTAATCAATTTTCTGTACATATTATAAAGATGAAAATTACCAAACCAGTTAAAGTCAGTATGTATTCATTCCTAGCAAAAGAAAAATGTAAGAAAGACTATGCGAAGAACGTACCGAAAAGATCATTTTCCAGCTGCCTCTGTGAAAAATGCAGCAAACTGAGGTTTGTTGAAATGTACTGAAAAGTCACCAGAGACAACCCAATTAAGAATAAGAAGATAATTGTTTAACATTTCACTGGCAAAAGTGCATTACTTACTGCAGTAGCTCGAGATACTTCTCGACAGGTGCTAAGTAGTCCATTCTGCAAGTCATCTCTCTGTAAGACTACGTTTTGTATGGCTGCTGGGTTATCTGCATTCATTTCTATCTCTTGACTTGCTGATAGCAAAGCTTGTTCAAGCGTGTACTAGTATAATAAAAAGAATTATTTTTAATGTTCTGCATCATTGGGCTGATTTTCATTTTATTTCAGTTATCAGTGTTCTGATAATAAGCATGTAAAATAACATCCACTTTAGGTAATAAATACAATCGTCCTACTTTCTCCTTGTGTAGCTGTTGAAGCTTCTCTTCCAGTGCTTGCACAACTTTATCTTGTTCACATAAACGGCTAAGCTCAGCCTAGTATATAACAGAAAACAATTGCAATTAGGGGCTTGTTTTTAACATAATCTATAACCAAAATATAACTTGATCAAAGCATTACAAGAGACTACATAAAATGCTATTATCACAACATATGAATTTTAAAATTCGGAAAGCATCAGTGTTGCCTTTTTAGGTTCACCCTAAGAAACCCTCTAAAGGTTTTATGAAATAACTGTTAAAAATAGTATGAATCAAAAGCTATAATTTATATCTAAATCTTCTACCTAAATATAATTTATATCTAAATCACACCTAAATCTTTATAATCTAATAACAGGTAATGAAATATTGTTTTACTCTACCTATCATTCTTAATTATGGTAAACAATACTGAATATATTCATAGTCTTTCCTATAGTTCACTTCAGGGTGTGGTTTTAATTATTTACTAATACTAACCATAATCTGCTACCCCACTTACAGGAGGAGCCCCCTAAGAATTAAACAACCTTTTTGATTATGCAGTGCCATTGACTTTCATGAACTACTCTGAATTCTTTCAGTTTAAACACAGTGAGCTGTTATTGATGGTTAAAATATAGACTTCTCTGAATTTCTGATATCTGTGTGTTTCGGACGAGCGGTAGCTTCCAGGACAAAGACATTTTCTATTTTTATTGCGTTTTAGGACAATGGAAAACTTCAAGTTGGAAGGGACCTCAGGAGGCCTCTAGTCCAACTTTCTGCTCAAAGCAGGGTCAGACGAGGTTACTCAGGGCTTTTATCCAGTATGTTATTGAAAATCCCCCAGGCGGGAGACTGCACGCAACTCTGATTTTTAATTCTGATTCCACAGGATCCTTAAATACATCTGAATTTCTAACCAATAAGAGTCTTCCATTCTACTGAGACAAATTTTAGTTCTAACACAAGAAACCTGCTCTAAGTTATAATGTTTAATCAGATGCAAGTATCCAGGATACGATGATTCTCACATTTCTCTTAACTAAACAAAATATTTTCCTATTAAATAATTTCACATATGGCTATGATGACAAAATTCAGAGACACTGACATGATTCAAGGCAATGCCTTTGAGGAGTACCGACATCAAAAGGAGGCTGGAACGGGGTAAAGATCAAACCAACGCAATGCATCTGACAAATCTTTTGCTTTTTGATGGTTCCTAGAGGGTAAGTACAAGTCCTCAAATGGACTGTCAAGTACAGGAAGGGGCAAACCTAATTTGTGCATCCTATATACAGCATCCACGTGCCTCAAACAACAGCCTTTCAGACAGTGTTGATCTAAATGTATTTTGGCCTTTCCCATGGGCCATACAATTCTTTTCTGATCTGGTGATATAATCTGCCAGATTGAACCATGCCCAAAATATTTACCGAACGAATAAAAGAAAAATCTTCTCAAAGTACTAGCAAGGGAAAATGCCTTTACTTTAAGGAGCTATCAAGCTTCCTGTAGAAGAATCCTGAGATGTCTAATGTTAGCCCTACTGATGCACGCAACCATCGTGGTCTTACATAGGTACTCACAACACTGTTATGAATTTGCTCCTCTTTCTGCTTGTCTTATGAAATATCAAATCTTTCTTCCAGCAATATGCATTATTGCTTGTGTAAACGTAAAATGCAACAATCTACATTTTCTTTAATAACTTAATCTGAATTGCATAAGTAAATCAAAGGAATGTAAGAGTTTTTTTTAAACAGTATTTCACGCAAAATACGAAAAGCCAAGTCTTAACCATTTGATTCTGCTAAAAATCATTTAAGATTGTGTACATAACAGAGTTGATGGGATATACTCATGCTACGTTTCATGTCCTGTAATACGCTACTCAACAATTGTCCTGACCACCTCCTTGTTGTCATACAGAAACTAAGCCAGTTCTGCTCATGCTTATGATTTACCATTCTGAGGTATTTAAGAAAAGAATTTTCTGATCTTTGCATAAAGTTTCCACTGCAAGGCAATGCTGGATACATGATGCACAGTTTTTGTGTTTCTATTTATAATCAGTAGTACGTGTCAAAATAAAATCTTATGCCCCTCAATTTTACGATGCAATTTCTATTGGTAGCCTCCTATATAAGGTGTGCTTCAAACCCAAAAGTCAAGGGAGGAAATTATTGTCAAAATAAAAAGAGAAGGACCAACATTTCCAAGGAAAAAGAAATACAAATACTTACATCAATATCCAGCTCTTCAGTTCTATATTTGTACAGTGTACCCCTACATTCTTCTTGTGTTAACTATAAGGAAGAATAATACTGCCATAAAACAACTTAATTGGACTATGAAAATGAAACTACTGTTCAGCTTGAAAGTTTTAATACAATAAACCAGTTTTTGCTCTAATGTCAGACATCACAATATATTTTTAACCAAAACATATTAATGGAGATAACTAAATGGAATGTCAAACAGACTGCCAGTAAAAAGTTACATCCACTAAATCTTAACATAGTCCGTCTGTATTTCTATACCACACTGGAGTTTTATAAGTGTACAATTTATCTTGTGATAACTGGGACATGGATTATGAAGTAGATGAAATGCAATCAGAGTACACCTGAACCCACTGTTGCACACCACTATGTACATTTTTGTATATGCATCCTAAGTACAGGGACTCATTCTACTTGGAATCAATCAGTCTGGGTCCACTAACATCAAATGTATTTACAAGGAGGAAATTTTGACGTGAATTTGAAATCAGAATGACTTAAGTATGCAGAATGCATGTAAAGCATCATTAAATACATACCCAGTAAGTGTTGCCAAATACCTTTTTAACTTTTTTTTCATATGGATACCCTCCTTCCCCAGAGTTCAGAGTACTACACAACTGCCATAAATGGAAGTCTGTCTGCTGTTTATCTGGACGTCAGCAAACTTGCCTGCTCGTTCTGGTCAGCATGTAAGGTACCCTCAAGCTACTTTCGCAAAGCTCCTCACATTAAGTTCTTACCGCTTTCAGTCTCTAAACTGACTAGTAGCAAGTTTTAAAAATATTTTATATATTAAAAAAAAGGCAGCTATCCATTTTAGAATAAGAACTGTCCTATACAATAAATATTTGCATAATACTGTCAAATTTCATATTCTATTTAATTAAAAGTATGTGTACAATGAGTCCCAGCATATATGCTTTCCTGTTATGTGTATGTCATGTCATAAGGCCATCGTGGTTTAACAGTACAAGAAATGACTATAAAAACACAAGTCCATGTTAAAGGACACTTATAAATAAAATGACTAGGGAAGGGTTAATCAGACAAGCATTCCAAACATACAATAAATCTTCAACACACTTTAGTGTTTCATTTCAAGACATTATGTCCACATACCTCATGCAAACGCACCTGGTGACAATTTAAAAGTATGCATAGTGTATTAAAACCACACAGTAACTTTCTTTGACATGGACATTTAATGAAAATGAGTGTCAACATATGAAAAAAGCCACAGCACTTTTGCACCTCACAAATGTCAAAAATTGTATGTTTAAGACATCTATTTAAGCCCCCACTATCGTAGAATTGTGTTTTATAACTGTTGATTTTATCTTAATGAGAGAAAAATGAAGAATGGAAATATTTTTTTAAAAAATACTCATAAACATGGTCAATATAAATGTAGGCCAAACATCTTTTGCCTATAGAGGAAAAACTAGTTACATTTCACAGAGATAGATTTTACAAGACAAAACTTATCCATCACTAGACATATGCATCTTTCCAAGACACCCTTCAACATTTTAGATGACTTGCCTGAAAAAAAAAACGTAAAGGAATTTTTTCAAGCCCGTAGTTTTTTTAAAAAGTGAGCCATTTCTTTCTTCAGCAGCTCAATTTTAATTATAGCTGAGCTTAAAATAGCTTGCCAGTTCAGCCTCCATATCATTGCCTACCTTCTAAATGTATGCAACTATTTAGGAAAATCGGAATGTGTTTTCAAAGAATACTTTATATACGTTAACTATTCCTACTAAAATCCTAACACATTTTTTAAATTGCTGCCATTGTCTTCCTTTTATCAGTATTACTAGTTTACTACAATAGCCACTGCTAGAGAAGCCTCTTTCACTTCCACATTTTTACTCTAACATTTTACATACACTTTACACACAGACACTAAAATTATATGAAATACTTAATCTATCTCTAACAAAGCAGCAGTTTCTCTCTGCACAGCACACCTATAAGTCATCTTAAGACAAAAAGTGTAGCATGTTATCATATTCTATTGGAATTACACAAGGAATTGCAGTAGACAAAATACAATTACACATTACAAGCAAGGTTAAAATCCTAATAACCCTGGAAATGCATTATAAGAGCTCCAACAACCAAGTTAGAAAGCTATTTTATGTCACGTTCAACGAAAGCCCCCTTCTCTGAATCGTTCCTACAAATATTTAACCAGGCCTATGATTTTAGAGAAAGAGTGCCACCTACTGAACCATCCACATGACTTGCTACAGACTTCTACAGTTTTCCTTGACATTTTCCTACTCAAAAACAAAAAAGTCCATTTCTGCTAATATGGTGAAATACACTGTAAAGCTGTCAAAGATAAGTCGCATCTTCAGCACCCCAAAACAGAATTTACCATTTTTGAAAGGCAAACTGCACAGACTTGGGTCATGCTTCTATCTTACACATGAAAAGACAAAGCGGCCTTAATTCAGCCTCCACCATATGTTGGAAATAATTTCTATTAATAACGTCAACTCCTATGAAGAAGGAAATGCCCACTTTCATGTTCTATGGATCCTCCTTGTGTAGGTGCATACACAGCAGAATTTAACAATTTCATATTATCAAATTTTAATTTCCTAGAAAAGTAGATGTCATATACCTTATAGTCCCACCAACAGATGCACCATCTCCTTTAAAAGCCAATATCAGATTTATCATAGAGGTGCATAAACCCACTACAATGGACACTGTCCTGAGAGGGAACATTCTTCCCAAATAAAGACAGATTAGGCAAATCTCTCTCGAGACATGAGGGGTTAAGCTTATTAAAGTAGCCAATATTAAAAAATTCTAGTTGAAGAGATTATTTCATCATTTTATATGCCTTTTTCAGACTCCCACTAACCATTCTTATTCAATAAATATAATATGGCAGGAAGTTTCACAGCCTAAGAGCAAACTGAGCACCTCTGCAAGGTTACTGCATGAAAATTAAAACAGGACAACATAGGACATTTGTAGTGAGTATGAGGTTCAAGTCAGGTTTCCAAAAGGCTTTTTTGTTTTTAAGGACCTTATACTATCAGGAAGCAGTGCAAATGAGCATTTACCCCACAGTTAAGCAATTGTTTAGAAGAATTAGATTTCTTTTAATTTAGCTGCCTCAGAACAGAGCCCAAATAGAAAGAACGTGTCAAATTTTTAGACATGCAAATAGCATTTTGCATAATGCAACAGATTTATAATTTCAAATATAAGCAGGAATACATGATTTTCAGCTCAAATACAATAATCTCATGCATTCATAAAGAAAATCTGAAAAATACTTCTGCCTATAAATCTCAAAATCTAACATGTGTAGACAGGATAAATATATGTATCTGGTTTAAAAAAATTGCCAAAAGGAAAAAAAAATTAAAGATCATTTTTATATCATGTTTTTAATGCATTAAGAACAAAGACCCAATTAAAGACATGGTTGTTAGCTTGTTTTACTCAGACTTTCATTTCCCCCCTTTAGTAAACCCACTCAAATTCAGGAAGGATTGAGAATAATTCAAAATTTTTCAACCAACAAATCCCCCTTCAGATAAAAAGATTAACACTCCTCACCTAGCATTAGAAAAAAACCCAAATTAGAAAGGGGCTCAGGCTGCAAAAAGTCAGTCTATATTTCTCTTGTCTGTACATATGCTCTGTACATAGAGAATCAATGCCCTGGCTTACGTCTGTATATTTATAGCAGTCTGTAGAACAGACTGATACAAGTTGAAGTGATTTAAGTAATTTTTTAACACTGTGATTACTGAAAAATCACAAAGAAAAATAGCTTAAATAACAGATTTTAAATAGTAAGGTTTTTTTTGTTTTTTTTTGTATTTTTTACAAAAGAACTGTTAATCATTACAAATAAATACAATATTTAAATTTCTAGTTAAATATGAGCTTTACATTGAGTCAATTCCTTTTTGCTAACTAGGACACACTACTTACACTGTTGTATAAATTCAAAGAAGAAAATAAGTTTTTCTTGCTTTCCCTTGTTTTCCTCTGAATAAGCTTAGTTATAAAATTGAACTGAATACACTGAAGCAAAGAAAGATCCCATCTGTACCTGCAGAAATGGTTATGGTCATCAGAAACTAGTTTATCCAGACACCAAAACAAGTTTTTTACATAGAGACTTCTCCCAATTCAGATGTTTAAATTTCTTTTAAATGTCAAGGTCAAAGAGGAATGCTAAAAAATATTTAATTTGATCGGAATAAGAAATTATATCACGTTTAAATTTTTACGTAAGTTGCCACAGTTTTAAATAGGTTAATTTTGCATTAGAAGAATTTAGAGGCCAATTTAAACAGCAAACTGTGCATATTTTTATCCTTTTGGGAAGTCATTTAATACAATGTTTCTTACAGGAAACTAGCTATGATAGCATAAGGTCTTGCTAGTGTCCAATTAATGTAATACAGGGCTTCTGCACAAGTTTGACCACATGTCACAAATGCTCGGACCTGCAGAGACTGTATCTCCAGCAGCAAGTGGGTATTCACTCTTCATGACTGTTTGGGTTTACCGTTTCTTTGACAAGAACGTCAAGAAAGGTGCTGATGCAGCATCAAATATGAAGCAGTGCATATGTCACAAGGTAAAAGCAGTGCTGTGTAGACATACCTTAGCTGGCAGCATAGCCTCATCAAGATAAAACGGAGACTTATTGGTACCCCTAACTTGCCGAGTTGATTAGCCCTGGCACAGCTATATCCAAATGCATCTAGACTAACATTAAAACCCGACCTGGTTTATTCTGATCCAAAGCTGTTCATTGTGCATACGTTAAGACTTACTTGTCAGATAGAGTCTAATATAGAAAACCGGTTTACTTCTAAAATCATTTACAATAGCAAGGCATCTTTTTTTTTTTTTAAAAAAAGGAACAACAAAAAAATCTTCAAAGTAAGGTTTGAGGGCACCTTATTTCTCCCATGCTACTCCCGAATAGCTCCTTCAGGTTCCATGTTAAAGCTCCCCTTTTTGCACTGAAAGAGTACAAATCAGGTGTTCCTGACCTAAGAAGTTATCGCATGCCATTGTTTCAGCAAAGTCTCTCGCGATCCACTTCCTTGGGAAAGTAGAGATGCCTCTTGCAACTTTCCTGCATTGCAAGAAAATCTATGATGCAGAGCTGACTTTCAATACAATAAAACATGAAATTAAGCTGCAGCAATTTATAGAGACATGTCAAAGCATTAATCACTAGTTAATGATTATTTTACATGGTAGAATGTCTTATTTTCTTCTAACTATGCACCTTTATTGGCTCACAAAGTCACTACCCCTAATTGAAGGAAATGGATCAGATATTCTCTTCTGACTGTCAGCCAGACCTGCACACCTCATCAGCCACAAAACATGACGTTCATTTAAATAACATCACCTTTGTTGCAGTTGCAGCTAGGACATTTTAAACATTTTCTGATATGGCAGGAACTATTCAGTTCAGCCTCCATGCTCCTAAGATACTGCAGTGCCAACAGGTATGTATTGGCCATGCTCATAAGTTAACGCAGGTCTCAACTCGCAGACAATATTTCCATTCACATTTCCAATTCTTCTGTCTTACCAGTTACAACCATCACTCGATATTCTGTACATGCACAAAGTTATGTGCATTGTTAAGTCTGCTGTGACTTTATTAACAGATACTGCCTTTCGGATTTACAGTTCCCAGATCAAAGTAATTTTGATCCTTTCTTTCTTCAGTGGCTAAAAGGCTTGGTAGATGCAAACAAAAACTTGTAAATCCACTTCCTAGAATGAAACAAAATTGCCAGAAATGACCAGGTAAACACCACTCACATGCTTTTGTAGTTGTCAAAATAAAGAAGCACCTTTGAACACTAATTGCATAGAGTCATGCTAAGACAAAATGTTGGAAGCTCATTGGAAGTTTCATGAATTTACTGGACACCTGCATAAGACATCAGCTAATTAAAGTCTAGACAAAAAAAGTTATTCAAAAGGGTACACTTAATACTCAACAACAAAAGTGCAGCAAAAGCCATGCTAACAATATTGCAGCATTTTATAAAGCATGGATGACTTGTGGTTTTCCAAAGCAAATAAGAGAAACACCAATGTTATGAATAAATCTGAGGAACAACCAAAACTGTCACTAAGGAAAATTTTTGCAGATGATAAAGCAATTTCATTCACTATCCAAGACCTTACTTGATGGTACAGTTGTGGTCTTAGCGCCGAGTTCTCAATCATAGTGTGAACCATGGTGATTAAAGGTTCATTCTCTTTCATCTATTTCAAATCAGGAGGAGCATACAGCAAACATCAGTTTACAGCATGGCTAGATTTGAAAGACGACACTGTAAATATAGCCTCTACTTTAATTTTTTCTAATAATGCAGCAGATTACATTTTATCCCATGCTTTTTATAGATTCCATCATTCAGTAATATCAAACATATGAAAATGTCAGTAATGTCAAATAAATGTAGTAAAAACATATAAAAATGCTCAAAACCAATAGAATGCTCACTGACCCAACTGCTCCCTTTTCTAAAATAAGAATGCTTAAAATAAGCCTGGCTTTACAAGCCCTTGAAAAAAAAAGTAGTATAGGAAATATGCAATAGGGAACACAAACCTTCATCAGAAAGCCTTTTAAAACATAGATCTAATGACTCAGTGTTAGCATTCACAGCCTCTGAATACTGAAGCCAGGTTTAGGCATATGTTCATGTATTGCAAAATGCCTTTATATATTGCATTGTTTTATATACTCAGGAACTTTGAATCATTAGTCACTGTATTTAACCCCCCTCTCCAAACCACCCTCCAGACTATTTGGTTTACATTTCCAAGAAGGTCAGACATTTTCTATCATGATTCATATTTATTGCTGTGTGTGCAAATATAAAAAACAGGTCCTTTGATCATTACAGTAAAAATTACATACATTTGGCATTTCAGAAATGCAACGCTTAGCACACAGAGAAAATGGTCTAGGATTCTACAACAGAGGACACGGAATACTTGGAAAATTTTAGATTACAGAAATATTATGCTGTGTAGAGCTGGATTAATAGCCATAAAAACCTTTAACCCATCCAGCTTCTGGATGCCCCTCTCCAGCATTTTTTCAAAAGGCAAAATCAGTATTTTTCAGTTTTTTGTTTTAAAAATGAGCTTCCTAATAGTAAGCTTTTTTTTTTCTTGGGGGGGGGAACTTTAGGAAAAAACAGCTCCTTGACCTCTTCAGCAATACTCATTTCAAATACGGTTACATAGGAAGACAGTATTGTGAATACTTAGGATCTTTCATCCTGTCTATACACATATACATAGGAATCATGAATCTGCATGGCAAGATTTTGTTTCACAGATTGAAAGTCTGAGTTTTTAATGCCTTCTAGAATTTCTTGCCCCTCCCTATTTTTTTTTTAAAACCTAACTTGTACATTTGGAATAAGTATTTTATTTCCCTAATGAGAAACGTTTTTTTTGCTGTTGTAGATATAGCACTTTGTTGTTGTTGTTTTTAAACATAGAGACGTTTGAGTAGCTGATAAATTAATCATCTGAAAAAAGAGTACCTTATTTTAAGAGAGTAAAAGCTTATGATGCTGTTTATGTAAGGTAAAAACAAACAAACTACAAATCACGAAAATCGAAAGCCTCCTACCCCCTTAGCCTCTACAATATTACACAACCTCAAAACTAGAACTGATGCAAGAAGCTGTACTCCCTTTACATTACAATTTAGTCTGAAAAGGAAAAAAATTCATAAACTGGGTGATACCAGAAGAGATATACTTGATCAACAATAGGATCAAAAACCAAACTATCAAACTACAGCCAACTGAAATTTTTATAAAACAAAAAAGAGGCTGAAATATTTTATTAGGAGTATACTGGTTTGGAAGCATTTTTTTAATTGGGAGGATTTCAATGGCTTTAGGTTCTCTTGTTAATTCTTTTAAAAAAAAAAATTCAAATTTTATCTTTCTGACTTAGAACAAACAATGTCAAAACTAATTTGTGTGAAATTGTTCAAATTGTTCAATTGTTCTGTTTTACCCAGACTAGAAAGGAAGTAAACTGCATTCTCTCAAGAGTTGTTCTGAAACAAGTTTTTGTCCTCTGGCCAGATCCAACTCTGATTTATAGGACTTTCTCCAACACTTTTACCACTGGTACTTAACCATGCTTGCTTAACACAGTCTGCAAAGGCCAGTTATTCCTATGAAAGTTCCCATTCCTTAAGCCCTTACGGGGCAAAGATCGAGAAATGGATTATTGGCAAAGCAATGCCAACCAAAGAGTCTTTGTAACAATCAAAAATTTCAAGTCCCCACCCCAGGAAATCAACATTTCCAAAAAATACTGACTGACGTGTCAGTCTATTCAAGAAGGTATTGAGAGAACACGTATCTGTCCACAGATATGTCCTTTTGTTAACTAAAGCTAGTGCGCACACAAAGCTGGTGTATACTGAAGAACTGGCAGATTAAAACAGAGCTATGCTGGATACAACAGCAAGTCCCATGTCCTAAGCTTAAAGGAACATCTAGTTCATGCTCTTAAAGCCTTACGACAAGACTACTCCCCAAACTGAAGCTGGATGCTATTCACATTGAAATGAACTTCTGTTCTAACAGTTCAAGGAAGAATATTTACTTGTTTCCTAGCACAGAAATATGCCTTGATTTTCTCTCACTTCAGAGAATCTATCATTTATTATTCAGATAGATCGCTGCACAATAAAGAAAACTGTTTAAATCCTATTTATGACATAACCCTAACACATTCACAGAGTCTCTCTAATTAAAGAGGTTACAAAAATCTCTGCAAATTAGAATTAAGATTATTCTCTAGGTGTAAGGCAAGCTGAAATGCAAACTGCCTGATGCCACAAAGCAACGCAGCAATAAAACCAAGTAAAATCCACTGGTCTTTGTTGCTATCACTTGCTACTTCTAGTAAATAACTCTTCTCTCCCCAAAAGTGATGCTCTGGCTTGGCTTTTATCCTTATTGACGTAGTATATAAAAGTATTTTCCAGTTGGAAACAACGAAAAAAGGATCTCCTCAGCACGTGATGTGTATGAACGGCTACGTGTTTATGAGCTAGCATTTGGTTATATTGCTTTTTGTACCATAAAGCCAAGCTGTCAAGAATTTTTTCTTCTTACATTTTCCTGAGTTCTCTTCAGCGTTTGGTAACGCCCTAAACAGGCAGCATTTCACAATGTACTGTTCTACGGACAACGGTCAGCTCAACCAGTGACTCCCTACCAAGAGACTTGACCTCACTGCTAAGATAAGACCATACGTCATGGATGGCATAAGGCTGAGCTCAGACTGGCAGTTTCATTCATTTCCTCGCAGCTTCCTGAAAGTAAAAGCAGTGGCAACAGGTCCAGGTCAAGCTTTTGCCTTGCCTTTCCTCTGTCCAAAACAAGGAAGGAGAAAGCACTTTTCCTTCCTGCCTTGTCTTTACAGCAATATCATGCCTCTAGTGCAGTCTTTTTTTCACCCTACACAGCCCCGGCCCTTGAGCTTCTCTCCTTCCTCTGGTGAGGGAAAAAGAAAAAAGAAGGAGCAGAAAGAATAGCAGTGATGGCTGGGTAGCTCCCTCTATCTTTGCCATATAACCTGGCAAATACATAAAAAAAAGTAATATCCTACATGTAGCTAATACAGGACATAGGATCTTAGGCTGAAGTACAAGAAATCACGTATAATACAAGATATCTGGCAATTCTGTCCAAGCCCCCTGGTACTATTCCATCCTCACCCACTTTACTATCTCTTTCCAGAACCACCTTCAGCATCTCAGAAAGAGGGTGGTGAAAAGGAGAAAACAGGACCAAAGCATCAGAAAGAATACAGACACTGGCTGTGGGACCTTTACTCCCGTTTCTGATAACTTGTTCAAGCTCCGCTTATTTATAAACTATTCACATAAATGGCCATTTTACAAATAGGCAAACAAACAACCAGACTAAATAAATTTCAGTAGGGCTTATACTATGACAAACCAATCTGTGAAATACTAAGATCACTACAACAGGAAGCATGGAGAATTTTACAAAAATAGCTTGAGCTTAATAGGAAAACGGTTTTCAGTCACAAGTAAAAGTTTACCATCAACATAAAATTCAGAAGTGTGCTCAAAGACCAGTTTGCTGGAATTCTCAGTAGTAGCAGTAAATAGACCTTCAAGTAGGATCTCTTGCCAGGTTTACTTATAAAGGAGGAAAAAAAATGTCTGGCGAAACCTAGCTTTTATTTGAAAAGCCTATGTTCCTACTTCTGGTTATCTTTATTGTAATTAACAGGTACATACACATTCAAAATATACAGTGAGGAAGCTGTTAGCTTGGACTTAGTACACAGAAGTGATCCCTAAAAATTTTATAATGCAGAAGACTGGGATTATATTTAATTAATGCACCCTCAAGTAAGTTTGCAGATGATAAAAAACTGGGAGGAGTGGCTGATACACCAGATGGTTGCACTGCCATCCAGAGGGACCTCGACAGGCGGGAGAAATGGGCCAACAGGACCCTGATGAAGTTCAGCAAAGGGAAATGCCAAATCCTGCACCTGGGGAGGAACAACACCATGCACCAGATCAGCCTGGGGCTGATCGACTGGAAAGTAGCTCTGCAGAGAAGGAACTGGGGGTCATGGTGGACAAGCTGACCACCATGGCATCCTGGGCCGCATTAGGCAGAGCACTGCCAGCAGGTCGAGGGAGGTGATCCTTCCACTCTCCTCAGCACTGGTGAAGCCACATTCTGAGTACTGTGTCCACTACTGGGCTCCCCAGTACAAGAGAGACATGGACACACTGGAGTGAGTCCAGAGAAGGGCTACTAAAATGATTAAAGGACTGGAGCATCTGAGGAGAGGTTGAGAGAGCTGGGACTGTTCAGCCTGGCGAACCTTACCAATGTTTATAAATATCTGATGGGAGGGTGTAAAGGGGATGGGCCAGACTCTTCTCAGTGGTGCCCAGGCAATGAGAGGTTATGATGAGAGGTAACGGGCACAAACTGAAACACAGGCTATTCTATTTGAACATGAGAAAACACTTCCTCACTGTGAGGGTGGCTGAACACTAGAACAGGTTACCCAGCGAGGTTGTTGAGTCTCCGTCCTTGGAAATATTTAAAATACAACTGGATATGATCCTGGCCAACCTGCTCTAGGTGACTCTGCTTGAGCAGGGGGGTTGGACCAGATGATCTCTACAGACACTTCCCAGCCTCAACTACTCTGCAAGTCTGTCATTCCATACTTGTTCGCATAACATGTCCCATGCTGGCAAACAAATCATCATTGCCTGGGGTTGCTACTCACTCCCAAAAAGCCACTTCCTAAAAGACAAGCAAATCTCTTGCCAGTATCTCACACAGAGGAGCCAGAGTGGTTCAAATCTCTCTTTAAAAAAAGGATGCTGGACAACAATTCTTTTGGCTGCAAGACTCAAAAGAAAGCATGCGGCTGGAGACGTGTGTTTCAGCCTCTTCAATCTATTTTGCCCTATCTCTGAACTCCAACAACAAAAATTCTGAAAGCATAACAAAAAAATTCTGGAAGTTTAATATACTTTTTAAAGGCTACGAGATATTCTTCAATACAAATTGATAATTGACAAAAAAACATATCTGACTAGTAGACAACATCTTCCTGCAACAATATACAAGTTTTTCCCTCTCCACATGCACTTTTGCCTGTCTGAAAATTCTTCTATGCAACCTTGGTAAAAACTTACTAGTTACTGCTACATACAGTACTGAATTCTTTGTGAGCAAAAGATGTGAGGGCTGAAGATAACAGGACAGGAGTTCCACCCTACACTCTAACTAAGATGTTTTTGACACTATTTTCAGAGATTATAGAGGAATCAAGAGTAGAAATACTTAATTTAAGTATACCAGGCATTTAAAATTCAAAGAGGGTAAGTGATTATGTAAGCTGATTAGAGATACTTATAACAAGGAGGTACGGCCTCAATTAGACTAAAAGAAACTTACAATTTTTTCTTCCTAAAATAAATGAAAATTGATAATGGATAAGCTAATAAAGAGAAATCAGTCAGATGACCACCCCTAGAAGTAGTGGCACTCAAAGAAAATTAAAGGCTCTTGGGGTATTCATTTAACAGTTGGCAGTCCTACAATAAAGCAAAGAAAAAAAAAGATAAAACTGGGACAAGTAATTCAATCCTCTCTTCCATGGTTTTATGATTAAGGTAATATATTTTAGACTTGACAATGATTTCTTACTGTAAAAACTGCAGTAATTTCTTGAACTTTTAGTGGATTATGACAGGTTTTCAAGATTTGGGCACTTCCCTAAATTAGTTTAAGTTTATCAAATTATATTTATAAATTTTACCTGACGCAAGACAAGAGAAAATCCTTTTTACCACTTCATATATTATACAGGCCATTCCCTCTATTTAATCCTGTATATTACACTGACAAGCTTGGCTGATCAAGCAACGGCATGCTACGTGGTTTTAAATTTCATGTGGACAGTCGTTGCCCCCCAGTGATAAGTTAAGTTACATTACTGAAGACCAAACTGTTCCCTCACTCAAAAGACTATAAACTGAAAACTGTTGATTTGGATCAAGTATTTGGTCTAAAATAAAGATTAGGAAGACCCGTTTTTCCCTACTGTTTTTGAACCTCCTGCAACCCATTAAACAAGACAAAGATGTTTAGGAATATATCACCATCTAACTGGATTGTCGCAATTTACACCATGCTTCCAAGTGACCATAGAAAGATATAGTCACTAGAGCCAAGAATCATTTTTTTTTTTTTTTCATAGTTCAATTCACTGAAATCCTGTCTATCGCTGTAATATGTAGGCCATAAAAGTTCTAAAAATTAGTGGCTTTGGGTGTAATGCTGGAAAGTTTCATTAAGAAAGACAGTATTTCAAAAAGCTTTAGAGATTTTCATATTAGTAATTAACAGGCACCCAGGTGTGTGTATTTCTTCTAAGCACCAACAATTGTCTTCTGTATGTGCTATCAAAAATTTACCATTTAAAACTTTTCTCACACACAACTTGCTAACAAGTCCCATTTGATCATGCAACAAAGCCATAAAGAGCTGAATGTGGTAACAACTTTTCCCTTGGCAACAAATTCTGCTGTCAAAGACAGAATTATACCCTAACTCTAAAAATCAGCAGAAATTCTGAAGAAGTAAAATCTAAACATTTAAAAAACAACTGAGTGAATGAAAAAAAAATTAGCCATGCTATGAATTGTTTAAAACTTTTCTTCATGATTTTTCTCCTTTCCATTTTATGTCCTGTAGAAATATCTAGCTCTTCTTCATTCTAAACACTGAAGCAAACAGAAGTACCAATTGTCTATGAATTGCATATATGCCATATGAGCTTGGAAATACGTTATGATTTTGGTTAAAGATAGTAAAATGCTACAGAAATTTTAGTTAGCTTTATTATGGGACATGAAGAACAAAAAAAATATTTGGAGAATGGCTACTGTATTCTGACAGAAATTTTAAGTTCAGTTAATGTTTTCCATTAGATGCCAAATTTGCAACAGGTTAAGATTTTTTATGCTACTTAAAAAGATTATGGATTAAATATCCAACTTCATAAAAAACACTGAAAATCCCTCCCCTCCCCAGATATTTTCAGCTTGAAAGGAGCAAGCAAAAAGCATTAAGAGACATAAACATATAAGAAAGTTGCAAATCCCACCTGATGATCCAAATATATGGCATTCCTTTGAAGGTGATGTGAAAGAATCTCGTTCTAGCAGGCAGCAGTCAGGAGGAAAAAGGAGAGGGACAGAAGTGGCAGAATGTATGAAAAGAGTTTTAAAAGACGTACAACTAGACAGTGATGTTTCAGTTTCACTTAGAAATATAATTCTACTTTCCTCTGCTTTGTCTTTGTGAACTTCTAAACATGTTCGGATCCCGAAACAGAAGTGATGATGAAAGTTTGCCAGGAATCATACTACACACTATTACATTAGATTTTGGTTTTTGACATAAAATACAGTATGTCCATCTGGAATTTCTATGCATGACCACACAGACAACTATAAACCCTTTGAGAAATCTGTGCTTTAATCATGTCCTAATTTTTGTCCATAGATTACAAATACAATTTTATCTGATATGAGGTAATATGAACAAAGAGTTAAGCAACATTATCAACAACTACTATTGTTAATAGCAACAATAGGTTAAGAGTCTGTAACTGTACTTAAAACTTAGCAAGTGCAACGTATTTTAAAGTGTTCCTACCTCACTTTGACTCAACTAATGTCAACAAGCTTTGAGCTAAAAACTCAAAGGGTTAATAGCAGAACATCACATACACAAGGAAACAATGGCATCCTGTCTACATCCATATGGAGTCAGAGAATTTCGCACTAATGGTACAATGCAAACTTTGATTAATGAATGACTAAAAGTTAGTGAGAATAGTACATGACACACATTGCTTTATAGCTGACCTTTGGGCTGCTGGCCTCAAGTTTTAGTTGCATGAGCTGTGCTAGTGTGTGTTCCCGGATACTACTCAGTTCAGCTTGCTGCCGTCTCAGCTTTATTAGCAGCAGCGTGAGCTCCTCTGGCTGAAGGAGTGCAGTGTGAGAAGCCAAAGAGTGGAAAAAAGGTTAATTGGTATCCTAAACAACACTTAATTAAAATAAGCGTTCTTAGTATCTTTCTCATGGTACAGAACTGTTTATACTGATACACCAAAAGATGCACTGTTTTTCCCAAAGTGACCACTTTCAAATATATAACAAAGGGTTAAGTTTTAACTGCTGAAAACACTTGATACTACAAATGTCATAAACACTGGAATATTCTGTACAAAGGACAAAAGAAGTTAGGATTTTGCAGGAGAAAGTCTATGCAGCCCTCAAAACAGACTTTCTAACATGAGCATCAAAAATTGATGATATTGACCTAAGTGAAGATGCAGATATTCCAGCCTTTAGGATACAATTATCTGTACATTGACAACTATTTGCAGTTGGTGGAAGAATCAAAAAACACCCCCAAAGAAAACTGATGCTTCTAAAGTAGTGTAAAAAAAAAAAAAAGATAAAAAACCCTGCATCGCAAACAAGCATCTTTCACATAAGAAAACAGCACAAGTATGACAAAAATTCTTTTCAGTCTCTCCTTCGACAGGTTTGAGGCTAACAGTTAATTTAAGATGGACTTCTCTGACTAAGGAAGATACATAATATAGCCTTCGGAAGGGACGAGGAGCAGTACTTAAAATCCATGATTATTTAAATACAAAAACCCAGTCAAATGGGCATTTCCTAAACAATTCCACAGAGACTAGTTCAGTTCAATTTGGAAAAATCTGCATGAACTCTCCCTGGGACCCACTTCTATCTATTAGCAACACTTCTAAGGAAACAAACCACTATTAACATCACATACATTTTTGTTATGTTCCTTGTTTGCTTCTGTTTCTTACACTTCTCCAGAAGTGAATCTTATAAGCGGTTAAATATTCACCCAGCGTTTTGATTACCTGCCACAATTAACAAGCTCTGAAAAAAAAACCCACCCCCCCCCGCCCCTTGCTAGTTCTCTCCCAGAGTCACAGAATTTCCCCAGAGCAAAGAGGTAAAAGAGCAAAACCTCCAGAGAACAAAATTGTTAAATTACTGAAAAACAAATCTCAATTTTTTTGGAATAAAGTATCTGAGAATAAGCATGGCACTGGCACTATTGTGAGCTTATATCAAAGTAACCCACAAGAGGGAGCAAGGGATTTCCACATAGCTTCGGCTGTCAAAACCATTTGCTTTGATGGAAAATCAACAGCAAGGCCAAATTGTCTAATGGGCAATCTTGCTTTTCCTACTCTTTCAGTATCTTGAATTAAAATTTTTAGTTTCAGAATGAATAAACATCTAGACTGCTATACAATATACGTTCAAGTTCTCTCCCAAAAGAAGCGTCAAGGCTTTCAGCGTGAAAATTAGTCTAATTTCAAAGCACAACAAAACTTATTTTTATAAATAAGAGACTTGCGAGTCGCATCTTTGAACAAAAGGAATAGTGAATCACATTTTATTTCAAGATCAAAACTTTTCTTGGTATGTCCTGCAACAATCTGATTTTAGTGCACTAAAATATAATTTTTAATGGCACTTAAATAAAACGCAAGTAATTTTTTTTTTTCCATAGAAGAGCCAACTGAACGGTAATACCTACTCTTCTCTAGACATGGATAAAGTTGTAAACATTTGCGACATGGCTGTAGGTGTTGTGTTTTTGATCTAACTGGAGGAACTCCTGTAACAAACGCAAGACTTTATTTATTTATTTATTTATTTTTTTTTAAAAGAGCTACCTCTAGGTTTCCTGCTCTGGCTGCTGCAACGCCTGTGCTGATGGCAAGGCTACCGATATCTCCAGGCAGAACCTGGAACCTCCTTGAGCCCTACCCCACTCATCGGCCTGGCACCAGCACCACAGCCCAAGGGTGCTAATGAGCCACGAACCCAAAGAAACGCCTTCCACCAGCATGTGAGATAAGTCACCAGTTGCAAAAGGCCATCCAAGAAGAAGTTGCAGAAAGTGCCAGAGATTCATGCTGGGAAGTGCAAGAAACAGGGGTCCAGGCTGCAGAAGGATTAACTGTGGAGCTGGTACCCTCAGTAAGATCCCAGATCGACGCTTTAAATTCCTAACTGTCAGTAATCTAAGCTGGGCAGAGAAAAACTACAGAAACAAGATAAAAACCTTTTAAAAATCTAGTAAACTTAGGCCAATGCCTTAACTTTTGGCTGAGTCATGTTTCAGCTAGTGAGGCTGACAATATTCACTAGCATTACTTTGAAGAAGTATCTTCAGAATTTTAATTCTATCACAGAGAAACGGGAGATATCAGAAGGAACATCATTTTACTGAATGCTGTGTTACAGTAGCCTTAAGATTTCCAAAAAAATGAAAAATTTATTTCTAGGATTTTTTCTAGGATTTTCTTAAAATGTAGTAGAGAAATGAAAATATTGAAAATTGTTTTATAAACCCCCCCCCCCCCCCCAATCTTTGTAATGTATCAAAGCTGATTACAAAAATTCATATTTCTGGAAGAAAACCTGAACTTAGTGACTCAGTGGCCACAGAATACTCTCAGAATTTAACATAACCATAGAATATCTCACCATTTGCTTCTAAAATCTCTGCTAATTAAAACAAAGGCTACATTTAATGACAGCTCTGAAAAGAATAAAATTTCAGTGTTGCCTGTTTACACTTAGGAAATTGTTCTTAAAAGAAAAAAACAATGAAAACAACGGATGTACCAAATAAAAATGCAACTCACTGTTTTGCCTTGGAGGCTCTGAGGAGTAAGAGGCTGCAAACTCAGACCTGCTGGCATTGACCTTCTGTCAGGCACAAAGACATGCTGTATAAAAATAAAATTGCATGGTATGATCCATAGTGATTTAAAGAATTAACAACTATTACATATTTAAAAAAACATGTCAGTTTCACTCTCATGACAAAATTCTTTTGATTTATGACAGCTTTGACTCATCACGTTCTCTGCTGATCTACCAGCTTGGACACTCATCTTGGGAGTAATTCATCTCTAAATTTTAGAAATATGCCAGCTTTCATTGTTCATTTAATTAGCAGCCCCCTCTCACAGTGGCTGCCCTACTGATAAGACTGTGTAAAAGACAACAACATTAGTTTTTCATCTAGCACTGAAAGCCGTTTGAAAATCTAGTCTCTTTATAGATGAGGGGGCTTCTTATCTTAAATTGATCCTACTGTTTTTAAATGGTCATTTTCCTAACTACCCTTTACCTACCCACTGGTTTGTGTTTTTAAGTTAATAGAAAAGACTACTCGTAAAACTGAAAAACATAAAATAAATAATGTGAAAAACTGAAGGGAAACAGGAGTTTTGCATACAAGATGCTAAATACAAAATGAAATGCTAGCATAATGTGTTACACAAGGGAAAAAAAACAAAGTAAAACATGGCTAAAATGACAAATAAGCACATGCTTTGACCCTAGCAATATTTCTCAGATTTGTAATATTGATTACAAAATTTTCAATGCAGTGAAGACATAACAGATACAAAAACAAAATGACTCCTTTATGGGCAGAGACCTAAACATTTTTCAAAAAGAGAGTTGGTAAACAATTTTAAGATGTTTAAACTGCTTTAAGATACAGTTTAAAGTTTTTTGTTTGGTTGGTGGGTTTTTTTTTTTTTTTGTCTCAAGACATTCATCAGAATAAAGACAGCTGAGCTAAAGATTAAACAAACAACTTCATGAAACCTAGGAGCATTTTATACAGTTGATTCTAGGAAACTTGTTAGATTATATCCAGTTTACAGGATAATTCTTATGCAGTTATCTCCAAACTAGCAAAATAACATGCATAACACATTGTGGATACAGCAGACACATACAGCTCTCAGGTTTATGATTCTAACGTAGTCTCTCTCTTTCACTAATGAAGACTACCAAAGTTATGCTAGTCAGGCACTGACGTCATGTGCTATAGCAGTCTCACTAATAACTCCCAAAAAAAGGCATCCAAAGAAATGACTGCACTCAATTTTCTGCTGCAACCTTAAGGCAGCTAAATTTGTGGCTGAAGAATAGAAAATAATGAACAAGAGGAAAGAAATTAGGCACTTTCAGTCCTCCTGAAGTTCTAGTTAAAAAGGCTACAAGGGAGAGAGGTGTCTGCATATTCACAAACTACCCTGAACAACATACTTACTGTGTCCTTTTCTTCCCTTTAGAGAAATGCAGTGCCATAGGCAGTAATATTAGGACAATGCTTCATCCAAAAAATCTGAGATAAAGCTTTTAAAGCTTGCACAATTTTAAAATGCTTTTTTAAAGCAAACCTTTCTCCTGAAAACACCATGATGTAATTCAATCTACATTACAATAAAATATACTACAGTGGAACATGCGAGTTTTACAGTAATTGGACACTTTCTACTAAAAAAACTATATAAACAAGCTTTTTTTTTAAATATTAAAACAAATATTTTACCTTAGTATGATGCGCTCTATGTCTGCGATCAATAGTTACATCTCCCCTTTGCACTGGCGAAGACACTTCTGATCTGTAGGTCCGCTGTGGGGAATATCCTTGGAAACCAGCTATTGAACCATGAGAAGGTGAGGTGGGAATCGAATGCATTGCCTGATCAGAAATATTAATCATAGTTTTGGGACTACTTAACGTACTGTGTCTCGTAAGGGTTGTTTGCTTATTGTAAAACTGACGTTGCTGCCATTCATAGAGCTGCCACATTGTGTCGTCACGCATTGACCGTCGTTTCTCCTCAGCTGTTGCTGGCCCCATGGTCCGGTCGTAAGCTGATGGTGTTACGCTGGAGACGCTCTCCGGCCGTGCTTTGCTGTTCCTGGGCAGCGTTCTGTAGCCTTCTGGGTACCGGGGTAAAACTTGAGGTCGATGGCTTGGCATGTTTCTTGGTAATGTTTGATACGAGATTACGCTGAAACACAATTTTTTATTAGTTGACAGCATTAACATGGCAATATAAAGTTACTCAATATTTATTTGGTTTATCTAGCTAGTGCCATTATGCAAGGATCATTTAAAAAAAAAAAAAAAGGCAAAACCCAAAAAGACAATTACAGAATCAACTATACTGATCGAATGCATTATAGTAGCTGAAGCTAGATCCTTTCTGATCAAATTAACTGCTTGATCGTCCCATTCACATTTCATCTTTTTACCAGTTTAACAGTGTAGTATTGTCAATTTGAGATCAAATCTTGTAATTTGTCTATGGCTGGCTAGATCAAAGTTTTGAAAGCAGTTTAACAGTGTAATATTGTCAATTTGAGATCAAATCTTGTAATTTGTCTATGGCTGGCTACATCAAAGTTTTGAAAGCTCAGAAATTCTATACCGTTTCCAATAGGCGCTGATATTAAATGCTTTTTTTCCTTAAAAGTGAAAATGCCTCTTATTATTTCTCTAAGAAATCCTGGGCAATTACTGGGCACATAAAAAAATTCTGAATTTGTAGTAGCAGACCACAGAAAAATAGCAATAATTGTCTAATAAAATTATATTGTTCAATCATCAGTGACAAGCCATTTCATACTAGCTATCCAAATGAAACAAACAGCAAAGTATTTCTTTGCGTGATGATAATATTTTATTGATTTTCAAACTGAGTATGAATTTAAGGTCTTACTCTTTAATTTGTTGCCATATTGAAATCCCTAAGCATTACAGTCGTTTAGCAACGTCTATGCAGGAGCTTTGGTTGAAGTGCAAAATTTTCCCGAACAAAATATCAATGTGTGCCAAAGTATGACAAAGTATTTCTTGTCTTTTCAGAGGACAGAATACAAGTCATACACACTGATTCATTCAACCCCCGTCTAAAATTCTGATGAGTACCACCTAATGTCTCGCTACTGGACGTATCTGTGATAGATTCTTGTCCAGAATGAAGAAGGAAAAATTAATTTCAAATTGGACATCATTCAGCCATTAGAGGGCAGCAACTTCTCGCTACACCTTAATTAGCCTAATTCAAGCTGTAACCCTAGAACTGAAAAGGCATCAGTATCTAAATTTTAGTCAGTGCAATCATGTGAATGACTTCAGTGCCACAAGTACTTTGAAGGAGTGACCTGGGGCAAAGACAAGGTAAAACAGCTCTACATACGCTAGATTCTTATGAAATAACTAGTAAGGAAATTGATGATGGTAAAACCTACCTTCCTCTGAAAATATTTAAGCTGAGTACTTATGACCACCTGGAACATTTTGCAGACGAAAGCTCCTATAGAGCTTTACAAACAATGAATCTGACTACAGTTTCTGAAACTTTCCAGGAATTAATGAAGTAGTATCCCCATTTTATAGACTGGGCAGCTTGCTACTTTCACTGAAAATTTGCATTTTAAGGCTTTAAATCATCAAGGAAGTCTGTGACCAAAAATAAGGAAATAGACCCTTCATCCCCATTCTCTTGTTGCGAAATCTGCTTAAATACCTCTGAGCTTCTTCATATCGTTAATTACAAGTACAAGGTTGTACTAATGAGAATTATGATTAATAATATAAATAAAAATATACAATCAATACATTATGTATCATATATTTAATAATACTAAATATAAACAATAACAATTATAAATAAAAATGCTTATAATTTTGATAATTAATGATATTATTAATAATCAATAGCAATTATCATTAATTATAAGACTTTCTACCTCCATATGTAAAATACAACCACGATGCTTCTGGGTTCAATTTCTAACTTTCAAAATACTATTTTAGCTATTTACAAATGGCTATGGTGAAGTCTGAGATTTTCGTAAAGAAATCCAGTAGTTAGATATAGCTCTCTCACTGAAGCTCCTCTCCCATTTTATTAATTAACGATTGCTGTAATCCTGTTGCCTTCTTTAAAAATCCCAAGCAACTCAGAGGAAAGCTGCTTGAGGTTCTCAATATGCAAACAGAGCAACTCAAATTCTCCTTGCAATTCCTTATGCTCTAGAGCATTTATGAAGATATATCCATCATTCAGACTATGAAAACGGTCTGTCACATCAATGAGGCCTTGTTTTACATCATTTGATAAAAGAATAATAAGTCTGATATTCCTTTGATAAAAGATGCACCAGTGTCCTGTCGATATTTGTACACTTTTTAATAATCAAATCCAAACAATCCACTCCAGACAGCCTTCCAGCTTTTGCCTGCATTCCATGCGAAAGTGAAACTACTGCAGTCATGCAGACCACCAGGTTGCAAAACGTTTCTGCAAATGCCACCATTAACAACTCCCTCCAAATGTTTCTGTATGAAGAAAAGGCTTCTGCATGAGTTTATAGACTCATTAACAACACCTTCAGAGGTTATCTCCAAACGGTCACTACTGGGCAGCAGCATTTGCTGCTGTGGTATGCCAGTCGGACCACCTGGGAGAGCCGGCTAGCTGCGCAACCTCTGGGGGCTCAGCCCTCACGGCGAACACTCAAAATATTTCTTTGTCCTGAAGAATGTAAATGCCACCTGGCCCAGAACACAGAACTTACCCTGTGCTTGATTCACACATGAGACAGACAGAAGACAAAACCCTGTTGCTCTACAAACAGCCGTTACTCTTTAGGATGAGGCTCATATGGACAAAGGCAGGAGAGAGCGATTCTCAGTCGCTGCTAGTAACAGCGAAACAGTGCACTCACGCTCGTGCAACCCTCCCTCTATGTCCTTCACTTTTCAGAAAGACCACTCAAGCGGACCACTTTCGGTGAAAATATTTACTCATAACCCATAAATGGTCTTCCTTAAAGCATCAGTTCTTCTTACTTACGTGGTTCTTGTAAAACTAGATGGCTATTCCCACAGAAGTGGCAGATAATAGCTTCAAGAATTAAAATTCATGTTATCATCATTAATTTCTGAGGTACTCGTAAAGTGCTAAGGAGACAGGCGATTCCTCTAAAAACCAGTATTTTTACCATGAAGCCTTTTCACTCCAGACTGAGGATGACAAGTAGCTGCTATTTCATAAACAATTATTTAATTGAGCCTCTGTCTTTTAACATTTTAGTAATGATTAAAATGCTATTTTTTTATTCAGTCTCACATACCATAGAGATCCAATTTGGTCCTTGAGGATTTCTATAACACAGTAAAAGTCCAAGAGAGGTGTTTTGGAAAGCATCTTTGTTAAAAGTCAGCAGCTTTGTGTCAGTAAGCGAAGACTACTTTTATCAAAAATTTAAGCCATAAATTTAACAGCTCTAACTAAAAACTATCTTACCAGCCGCTTTCCCCAAACCTTAAGCTTTTAACATAAACTGGAGCTTCTTTCTACTCTCAGTCACGAACTTCAATTTACTTAAATATCTGTCTCCAGTCAGAATCGGGCAATTTGAACAAAATCAAAATTTAAATGAAACCACATTTTAAAGACGTCATTATACATAGAAATTCTGATAATAATTTAAGGCTACTTCCACACATCAAAACTAGGAAGACAGCACAAGGGCAATATATCTTTCAGTTTTTTTAGTCTGATGTGGAACTGCAGTTCCAAGTATACTGTTTTTGTAACCACGGCCAACCGTAGTTAAACAATAAATATTCTCCATAGCCAAAAATCAAATACCAGTGAATAGTAACATATTGCTAATAGCATTTCCCATTATCCAGTTCTCACAGTGAAATCAGTTTGTTTTAAAATACAGCCAACACAGAGTTGTGGTAAGAGTCATCAAAATGGAAGGTGGGATAAAGACTCAAGGTTTTATATTCCACAACTGAAAAACAGCACAGCTACTCACTTTCCTAGTGTTTGGATGCAAGTTTTACAGTCCAATTGAAAATACCTAATTGCAGCAAAGAACCTTCTCTGTTCTCATTACCCAAGCATATATAATAAACAAACATCAGAGCGTGAAAGTTGCTCTCTGTAGTGCAAATTCAAGCTTGATCAAACTATCCACTTCACGAAACAACATTTTAACAATTCCTAATTATATTTAATGAAGGTCTAAAGGCAATGGGGAAGCTTTCAACCAATTTTGGCGAGCATAAGGCAGAATAATGTAAATCGTTGCAGCTCTGCAAAAATCAAAATAAACACCACTCCCCTTCTTCAACATTTCAGGAAAACAGCTCTTCTGAACCTGAGTAGGTCTCAATATCTGCCCTGCCATCCAGCTACAGGTGAAGTCCCTAGATCCCAACTCTTCAAAATATCTCCTGTGATACCATCCCCACTATTTCTATCAAATGGAACATTATAAACTTTTATATTTAACCAGTAGAGCCGCTTATCTGTAAGTCAGCTTGGAAGCAATGTCCCTACACATCTGCCAGACAGAAAAACTGCTATAGGCATAAGATTAAATACCATCAATCATTCAAATATAATTTTAAAGCTTGATGAATAAGCACTGGAATTCAATAGGAGAACTGGGAGGTGTTTACTTTCAGGAGGAAAAAAGCTTTAAGCATTAGGTTATATAAATTTCTCTAATTTACTCTTAGGTAAAGTTTCTCTTCCTCTTCAATTAAAGCTTGTTTAAGCTTTAAAGACTGCCTAGAATAATTTTTAGATTAAAAAAATCTAAATTTAGATTTTAGATCTAAAAAAATTTTATCTAAATTTTTTTTTACAAGATCCTGTAAATAAAAACACAGAGGTAGAGGAACTTCAAGAACAGATTTTAGGAGGAAAAGGAATTTTTTGATTGATGACACCTTCACTCTGCTGGGATAGAAAAATTTTTAACATCTAAAAGGGATTTCTGGCCAGTTCTGTTTATTTAATAAGTTACTAACAAATTTAAAACTTACTAGCAATCACTCACTGTTAATAAAAAAGAAACTCTGATAGATCTCTTCTGAGTAGGCATCCAGGCAATTCTTACAGAGGCCAATGAATTATATATATACACGACACAGACTGATAGAACGTAAAGAAGTTAGCCGGGATAAAAGTGCATGGGTTGTTTACTAGAAAGCCTAGCTACAAAAAAAAATTGCACAGTACTTACCCTCTTGTTTCCTCTTCTTGTCCTTTTCCTCTTTGCATTTTAATCCACTGTTCCAGCTGCAGCATTGAATTAGTTCTCTGCATGACTCGCTCTGACTCCATATGCGACTGAATTGCGTTGTGCTGACCTCCATCTCCCGTGTCTGCCAGGACAACACCAACAGCTTTATTCTCAGACCCGTTTAAATGAACTGGCCTGAAGTGTCCAGCCTGAACCGTGCTGGTAGGTAAAGTCCTATATTCTGACCCTAAAGGATTTAGCTTTACGCTGTTAATTTTTGTTAATGGTTTGTCTTGCCCAACTTTCTGGAATCCATATCTTTCAGCTTCCAAAGCTTTCTTCTCTTCATTTTTGTTTACTTCTTTGCTTTTCTGGTTATTTTGTGCCTCTGGCTTAATTAGCACCCGATGGTTTGAAATATTATTTGCCTCTCGAGGTGATGTGTTTTCAGCGGTTAGCTTCTCTGCTCTAGAAAGGAATATATGACAAGCTGTAACATCAACAAAACATGCATTCAAATAAAAATAGTAGTGAATCCCTTTGTGTTTACGGGGCTGTTTCAGGGGTCACTGTCCAGGTATTTTAAACTAACTTCTTGTCTTTGAGAGAAAAATCCACGACACATTCTCACAATAATCAATGTCAGATTTTTCGTTATGCTTCTCTATTTCTTTGCTATTTTAAAAGTATAACATGGGAGAAATTTTTCAAGCTAGCTCCAAATTACCCCCCTTCAGTAAACGTGCGCTAAACAAGAGGAAATAAAGACCGAGTCCTGAAAAGTGGATGTTCAGTTCCCAAAGGGCTGGATATTTAAACAGAAAATTCAGTGGCTCTTCAAGAGTCAAAGCTTCCAGATGTCAACAGCCTGAAATTCAGACTGTTTTTAAACCAGACTGTTTTTAAAGTCTTTAAAAATAGCAGCACATTATGTTGCTGACTAACCTGTGATTCACAAAATTACTGAATTTTACATATAATGAGCTCCTTAAAACAAAACAAAACCCAAAAAACCCACAACAACTTTTCTTGGTCACTGGCATCAATTAGGTTTCTCTGCTATGTTATCACTTTGGCTGTTCTACATTTTGTGGAAAATAACTGCGGCTTCCCTAATTTTACAGAGGAAAATAGCTGCTGACTAGGGGGAACCGTACCAGAAAAGTAATGACATATTTTTAGAACAGTTACTGCTGTACAGGACTTATACAAGTAGTCCAAGTATGTAGTTTTATTAGCTGTCTTCCTTTTGAAATTTCAAAATGTCAAGAAGCCGTATCTTTTTCAGCACCGGGACATGTTCTGAACATCCAGGTCAGATGCTGACAGAAAAAGAAACAAACAACAAAAACCCCACTAAAATGTTTTGATCAGCGTATTTGGGGATATGAGGAAGAAAAAGGAAAAAATAAAGTTCTTCAAAGATTACAGATCTGTATAAATCAAAACTAAGAACAAATCTAATACAGTTTAAGGCGATGTCAAATTAAGCTTTCAAACCATTTTGCATCTTTTTTGCAAGTACATTATTTATCTTTATAATTGTGTTCAGTTCTAATGCCTAACCTGGGTGTGCAACAGGCCACCATGTAAAAAAATGACCAAGAGCACAAGAACGGCCACTTCACTGAAAAATACTCTATTTTCAGGCAGAGCAACTGCATATGTAAACATAAGCATTTTTGCCCAGAAATTATTTGAGATATAAGTTCCCAACAATTTAGCTATTTGAGATAGAACTCCAATAAATATGTAAAGGGCTAAAAACTGTAAGGTCCCTATAAAGTACTACCCTATTGCTAACAGGGTTGGATACTTATTTTTAACTGCACCTCCCACCACCACCCTACTCTGCTGCTAAGAATTACGAATGAAGAGCCTCCTGCCAACCTGACAAGTCCCCCTCCTGTATCTGGCATCTGAAGGAAGCTGCACTCTTGCAAACCTACCAGTCGAAACAGCAGGATATCCATGTTTGCTGCCTACTTGAGGTCAGTTGGCACAAAAGGCACATGGGGAGTGGGTGGGGGTGTAGGTGAATAAGGGGCGTGATTTTTCCCCCCTGCCTATTCCTGACGTAGTTTTAACCTTAGTATAATGGTCTCAACGTAAGCATGATATTTGTCTATATGATAAAAGTCCTCCAAAATTCATTCTGTTGCTGTGAGCAGCTCAAAATAGCTCTTTTCCTCTGGTTTCATCCAGGTATGATTCCTGAGGTGCTGACATAAAAGCGCACATACGCATCAAATGAAGTGCACGTGAAAACATTTAAGACCACTAATCTAACATGTGAATATCTTTGGTTACATGCATCAGCATTATTTTTTAAACACAGTATGCTTTTTCTTGTATGGTGCTATTAAATACAGAGGTTAGATATATTTGGTATTTTCTGCCAGCAGAAAGCAGAGGGCAATATTCCTGCCAACAGTGATCTTTAGAGGAAAAAAAAAAAAAAAGTGGAATGTATTTTTATGGGAGATTTTGCTGGGGAGAGAGGCAGCACACGTGATGGAACTGCTATCCTCACATCATCTTTTCTATCATTCCCAGGTATCAGCAAAGAAATACTCTGCCAGGCTCCTACTGCACTTTAGAAGTGTGTTTTTTCAAGACTTTAGGAAAGACTCAAACATTTCTGCCTGGGTTACTTTTCAAAGGTATGTAAAAAACTGGATCATCTCCTCCCTCTACTTCTAAACTGTACTACTCAGTGGTTTATCATGAGCTAAAGGAATTCTCCAAAGAAAGGAAAGCGGATGAAAAACTCAACTTCCCACAATTATCTACCAAAAAAAGGTGTTAAAAAATTCACTTCCCAGTCAGCACTCAAGAGTTTGGAAATAAAAAAAAGACTACCTTGGTAACAATCCTGTCCACAGGCATTATTTTTATACGTATATGCCTTAAATAGCACTACCCTTATACAGCACTTTTTAAGTAAGTGCTTTACAGTGGAGAAACTGTTGCCATTTCACAGATGGAGACACTGCGGTGCAGAGATGGAGAGCAGTTTCTCCAAGGACATTCATCAGGAAGGTGGCAAATTCAAGACTGAGCACAACGTTTTACCCACTATGGCGTATTTCCCGCTGTAGATCTTAATTAAAAAAAAAAAATCACACAGTTGTTTTTCCACGGGATCTCTATGCTTTATCACTTGTCATTCTGGTATTCTTTATACACAGCAGAGTCAGGTATTTATATTTGACATTCTCTTTGATGGTGTAGTGACTGGATGACTGACACGCAAACCGATATAAATATACTTCCAGGCTCTCCTTTAACTCCACGATTAACTTAGTCATCTCAATGTCAGCAGAAGATCTCATTCAACAGCAAAGTTTTCCAAATGGGAAAGAACTATCAGAAACTTGTATGTAAGCATATGAAATATAAAACCATGCTCTTGAAGACATTTTCACCAAGACTTCCACGGTATTTTAAAGATGGGGAAGACAAGAAAAGAACAAGTATAGAACAAAGATGTGTTTCAGCATATACTGAATACAATTTATAGGTTTCAACAACAAACCAGGAATACCACCTTTGGAACAGTAATAAAAGAAAAGACTATTTTCAACTGCTGAAAATATATAAATGACTTTAGTTTTTTTTTTTTTTCCTAACATCATCAAGCATCAGACAGACATGAGGACTGTATCACCAGCAATGTAACAAAGCCAGGTAGAGGCATGAGAAAAGAAAAACACATCTGTTTGAACACAGCAATGTTGGTAAAACCCCCACTGAAGTCGTCATTATGCTAATGAGTGTTTTTAGAAACATGAACAACAAGAAACAACCTCTCTGTAGCACACGCAGCTGCCATTAAAAGGATAGAAAAATCATACTCTTAAACATGGAGGAGTAGAGAAATCAGCCTTCATTTAGGGTAGAACTCATAAATGTTGGTGAATATTAGCATCTATAAATACAAGCAAACAATCACTACTGACAGATGCAATTCAGCTAGGGCCTGCAGGGATACAACACAGAATGAATAAGATGTTTTGCTAATCTAGAGAGGCGGCTTGAGATCATACTTTGAGTGATAAGCTTAAGTAGTTCCTGACTGATTAAAGTATTTGGGTTTAATTATTTTGATAGGTCCCCTCAGGACATTATTAAACTTGAAACTACTATCTAGGTAAAATAAAAATGCTTAGAAAGCAGTAATTACAGTGAAGTTCATGGGACAAAATATGGCATAGTTGTCCTCCCTTCAGTTACACATCCAAAGGGAGTTTTTCTCCTGCAAGCTGCTAATAATTCAAGATCAATTCTAAACGAAATAGTTACATTTTTATTTCCTCACCTCAATATCTCATCTCTGTATTATGTGGCTCTTTACACATGGAAAATGAGACTATTTTATGGAAAATACTGCAAAAAAGCATTTAATGCTTTAAATATTGCTTTTATCTTTTTTTCTTTCCAAGGAACTCTCGTTCTAGAAAAATGAAGACATAGGTTTTATCTCTGAAATTATTTAAACCTGAATCATGCAATTTGACAGACTGTTGAGTTTAGATTTTTCAGAGTATCATCAGCACTGCAGTCTCTTAACTTCAAGATTCAAAGAACTACACTGTAAATACTGTGATTTATCATTAGGTAATTCATATCAAAAGAGCATGTAAGAGTCACTCAACATCAGCTTGTATAAATACTTAAGACTTTTAAAAACACCAGCTACAGTATCTCAAATAATTGGTCTGCTAGAAAGCTGTATTCAATACAATATTAGAACCTCTAGAAAAAATAGCATTGAGAAAAAAGGCACCAGCTGAATTTCTGATTCAAGCAAAACCATTTATCCTGAGAGCTGACCCGCATGCCAGACTTTAGATTACTCAGAGATGAGGTAATACAATGCTTAATGCTTAACAGATTTTTTTTTTTTCAAACAGGGAATAAACAGTATTTCTTCTGGATAAGATCATATCCTGCTAAATGGTTCATTTTTAGGCCCACGATAGCCAAAAGATGGATGCTTTAGAAACAGATGTCTGAGGTATTTTTTTCTTCATTACAGCTAACAGAGATGAAATTTAAGAAACTTCATTGGTCTTGAAATGTATCATCTCTCAAGTAATTATTTCAAGAATACTGAACACTTCAAAGAGGCCAACTTGTTTTTGTTTTGCTCTGTTTTTCGTATGTTTGTTTGGGGTTTTTTTGGCCTGAATTAAAACAATAGGTTGGTGCTAAATAGTTGCTTTTCTTGTCTCTGACACTTGGTTTTGACTACCGGTAAGACAGTTCATCCTGCTAATCAGGCAGAAAATTATTGATTTTTCTTCTGAGTGCTTTTTTACTAGTTTAGTGTGCCCCGCCAAAGGGCAAGATAAGCACCAGCACCAATGCAAGGCAGGTCACAAGAGTGTGTAGCTGGAAGAAGTGTTAGATAACCTCAGTTATATTGAAAACCCTCACCTTTTGGCTATACACCGTCAGACACCTGACACAGAAGTCAGTTCTGGAATGGGCACTTCTGCTGAAAGAAAGAGATAGCAATGCATGGCCAAGCATTTGGGGAGGACGGGCTACCCCTAATGGCAGCAGATTGTACTTCGGGCATGTTAAAAGTAATTGTGGAAGCGCAGCCTGGAAAGCAAGACTATCCTGCAAAGCTGGATCAAAAGTCAGTCAGAGCTTAGTAAATACCTCGACATCCTGTGAGGTAGCAAACGTGACCTTACTTCTGTATTAACGAACCCAATGAAAGAGTGACTATTTACATTAATACTCCATTTTGGATTGCTTCTTTTGCCAAAATAAATATCACAAGTAATCATACAACATTTGTTTAGATATTTAAATTTACGAAATACCTTGTATAGAACATTGTCTGTTACATGAGAGACTATGAAGAGACTTACTAAGGAGGTTCTGTCAGAGATGCATATTGTTTTTCACATTGATTTTCCCCCCCCCCCCCCCCCCCAAGAAAAGATGTCTTCTTCAAATGTTCAATCTTTACAGTATTGCACATACCAAATGATTCTTTTTAACAAATGAAGGTCCTTTCACTGGTTCAAAAAGATTCACAGTGACCCACTTAAACATTACTCCCCTAAGAAGCGCTCATATAATACACGATTAAATCAAATCTGACCCACTTAACTCCAAACAAAAATAAGCCTAGCCTAACCTAGCTATTTACAATGCACTTACAGTGCAACCCAACACTGATTTTTCAAATGAAGTTTATTATTGACTAACCTAGAAGAGATTTTTTAGTTCTATTAATGTAACCTCACTATAAGTGCACTCTCTTTTAAAAACTCTTAATGGAGACATTAAAAAGTGAAACCACTATGGAAGTATCTATCTGTTTGTGCTCTAGCTCACTCTCTGGTCATCCTTTCCCCGCATCATGTGGTACTCCCTAAAACAAGAGGAGGGTTACGGGAGATAAAGAACATCTTATCCTCATAAGAAACCATGCGTAATCATATCCAGCTTCATGATGGAAACTGGACCTACCACTCATCCTTTTCACAAGCTGAAATATTTTATTTTCAGGATTCTTTTTGGGGAGGGGGAGAGGGAGAAAAGTCGACTGACAGCTTGAATGACATGCTTTTTATTTTCCCAAAGTACAGTACTGTTATCCTTTTGAATGTTTTGCATACTGGCATAAGTAAAGGTTACACTATGTTTGACTGAAAACTCACAAAAATATTAAAACATTTAAGGTTAATATGCCTAATCATTCTGCAGTTCGTTTTATACCTATGACAGCATCATATCAGAACACAGGATGTAGAAATGCCAAGAACAAGTTAACAGGAATGAAGGAATGACTTTCACTGGAAAAAGATTCCTTATATTTCAAACAAGTTTAATGTATTCACTTTTCCAAAAAAAAGAACTGTACGTTTTCCTTCCTTGGTACCTGTGCTTACAGGATATTTTTTTACTTGAAATTTCTCAACATTGCTGCCATTCATTTAGCACCAGTGTAGCTGGAACTAGCAGTGCAAAAGCAGATCAAGGGACAGCAGCCAACAGCACTAATCTTGTGCCATCAAAAGTAAGAAGCTTTAAATTTTCAACTGATGAGGTCCCTATTATAGATGCTATGCAGCTGAATCTAGGGACCACATTCAGAGGAAAAAAAGGTTTCACTCGACAAATGGCAGCATGCAATATTCACCTGAGACTACAGAGCTTCCAGTGATAACTCCCCCCCACCTTTTTTTTTTGTTTAAACCAACACATTACATAAAAGATAAGGCTCCAGATCACCTAAGTATAAATTCTAAGGACTACTTAACAAAGAACAAGAATGGCCATGCGTGCAACTGGTCAACTAATTCAGCCAGAATCTATGCCTGTGACTTTGGCACTTATAATAGGCTTAAGCCAAAGACTACCAGGAGCTAAGATGCTATTGCTGTTCAGTCAGAGGGGGAGGGGAAGTCAACATGCTCCAGGTAGTACTTATCATTTTACTTCTTTTGATGCCACTGGCTAAAGGAACTAGTCAGTTTTACTTATTCTAGCCCCTTACTCTTAAAGGCACCTATAGTCAGAACAGAACTTAGATTACTTTTAACTACTCCAAAGTTTTATCCAGTATTGTTAAATTAGCAGGGGTCCTTAAGGGTAAGAAGGAATTACTTCCCCTGATTTACACTCCATTTTGAGACACAGCTTTTCATTCAAATAAATCACATCAAATATGAGGAAAAAATACATTGTTCTACTGGTTTGCCTATCCACATTACCTTTTCACAGGCTCTGTCTGCACAAGTGCTGCATCTGTCATGGCTTTCATCCATAACTCCATTTCCTTCCCTGTATCTGTGCAGAAATAATAGGTCCTCATGTTTGGATGAGCTGCCTGATTGGAAATGACATGGTCATTGCAATAAAAATATAAGATTCTGTAAAAGAAAAGAGGCAAATAATGTTACTCCTACTTGTTCTAATTTTTTTTATTTAGTAAGATTTCTGAAAATAACATTATAAGAAAAAATATTGGAAGAAGTATTTCACAGTTATGTTCCTCTTTTAATGCATTCACATTTACAAAATAATTGCTTATAATTTTCAATCATAGCTGCTTCTTCATTAATACACCTGATTAAGAGTCCTTACATTGCTTTGAATTATTTTTAAAAATCTTGGTTATTCATTAATGTAAATGAATATAAATGAACATAAATAAAATGTTTTGATAAAGATCTGCACAGTCTGAATCGTACAGTGAGTTTTAATTTGTACTTACCAGTGTAAAAAAGCGATGTGCAGCTTAGCAGGCATTAAGAATAGCCAAAAGGAGCTCATAAAGCAAGCAAATAAACAAAGTCAGGAGAGAACATTTAGTAGATTGATTTACAACATCTGATTTATAACATGATTAGAAAGTAGCTATGAAACATTCCTAACAATGATCCATGTAATGCTGTGATTTAAGTGATAATAAAATCATATTTTATTTATATATAAAGATAACTTATATCTAAATAACTAATCTTCATTAACGACATAAATCTAGCTGTGGATGCATTCTACAACTCCACAACACCAAACTATATTTCAGACCCATGACCCATAAATAAAGTGCTAGTAGTAAACAATATTCACTCTTTTTCTTATCCTAATCATGATGCTTGTATTTACATCAGACTAAATACCTGAATCCTCTGCTATAGTATTATGCAAAAATCAACTTCAGAAGCTGTTTGTCAAGCCTGTTTTACATAATAACTCAGTAAAACAAGTTCTGATCACTAGGCTATTGTACTTTCAGATATAAAATTAAACTGAAAAATTAGATTTCCTCACCTTAAAGGCGTATTTACGATTAATATGGTCCTCAGGAGAAAGAATGGATATCTGAAAACTGGGCAGAAGTATACTACCCAATATTCCTTCTTCTTTCTCATCTATAAATACATAATCTTTGATTAGAGAAACAAAGTGTTTTGATACATAAAATCCCCATTCAGACACTTCTACCTGAAAAGCTGTTTTTAAAAAAACACGGCCAGTATCCAAAATTATTTGCTTTTGTTTGCACGATAAGAGCAGAGGAGAGCGAGTTTACCTTAGAAGAATACGCATTACAGAATCACCAAGCCAGAATGATGTGTTAGGTCGGTACCTGCACACAGTCAAGGATGAGCATGGTCAGCCTAGGGGATGTGCCACCCCTCCCTGTCACCATGTGCCACAGAAACCACTGCACACGTGGTAGCGCACGTGAGGGTGCAACAGTGCGAAAACCTGTGAGCAGCGCACACTCGTGTATAACGTGTGGTGGGCCGGGAGGGAGGTCAGGAGAAGAGTTTACCACGCCATTAGCCCATTCACTTGGATAAATCCATCAATGACAGCAGATACTGGGAGGGCATTTGATTCTGCCATCTTCAGAGTCTTCTCTGGAAGTTGTTCACACTAGTCAGACCTGTATTTCTTGCTAGGAAAGCACAGGCGGTCTACCAGCCTGAGGAAGCATTTCTAAACGTTTCCTTTGGGAAACCACAATAAATATTTTACTAAACAAATACAAAAATTTTCCTCTGAAGTCTCATACTAAATTCATTCACTGCAGTGGAAAAATCAGATTTTAATCTGATTTCCATTGCATTTCTTAAAATAAATAACTATGGAGTCACTAATATTCCTGAATGCAGAATGGAGATATTCTGACTACTGGAGAAACACACAAGTTGAGAAATTTGCAGAAATCTGTAATGGAACCTCAGAAGATGCACGTAATGTGCACAGTAAATACACTGATACCGGTTGCAGGATAAAAAAAAAATGCCCTCCGCTGAGTAAGAGTCAATTCTTTTCAAGCACTTTATGTAGCCAATATAGCAAACGGGATATGAAGAAGCGTTTCATTACTGTTCAAATATATATTTCTAACAAAATAGAGCATTTTCTATATATCGCACTTCAGGATTACGTTTTCTTTTTTTAATGAAGCAAATAGGAATGCAGATACGTTCATCGAAAAGGACTTTTAAGTGAGGGACATTTTTGGTTCTTATCTGCCTTAATTTATTGTATGTTTAAATTTACTTGATTTTGGTTAAGGTTCTTATCTGCCTTAATTTATTGTATGTTTAAATTTACTTGATTTTGGTTAAGGTCACCAAGATCTAAAATACGAATACAAAAAAAAAAAAAAAAAGATCAATATTTAGGCTATCCTAAAAACCTACTCTTTCCTGTTACCCATAAGCCTGTGAAAAGGAGCTAAAGCCAAAGCCATCCCCACACCTGCAATCTACTAAGCACAGTGAAATCTAGGTGACTTGAATATGGCCATCTTCAACCTTTTCCTGAGATGGACAAGCATAAAAAACCCTCTGAAAGTGCCCATGATGTAAAAGCTTACGTATGTGAGCTGTCTTACAGAATCCATTACCTTACGGAAGTCACCATCAATAGCTTCAACCTAGAGCTTTTCTGTAGATCAGTGCTTACCTGTAGACAACTCAAAACTAGAAAGCAGATGGGTCAAGCTTCTAATTCACTGACAAGAACAACACCTACTATCTTTTGTCTATTCAGTAAAAATTACAGACACCTATGAGAACAGAAGTATTTTAAAATACTTTTTCTGATTGCTGGCCTTTGAGACAATTTGCATATCCTTCCACTTGTTGACTGACGTTGGGCATATTAAGCCAAGAGATTGTTTTAATTCCCTTTGACAACAGTGTACACTCAATAATTACATTCCATTTGTGAGAACGTATATATGTTCCAGACCGCTTGTAACAAAAGAAGTATTTCCCCTGAAAATTGTTTTACATACAATTTTAGACTGATACACAAAAATAATAAATTAATATTTTAATTGGAAGCCACAGCCAGCTCTTAAATCTAATTAAATCTTTTAATAAAGGGATAATTGGATGCAATTCACAAAGTCAATGTCAATTGTATTACAAATACAGAACTTCTATTCACAATCAATATTTTAAGAAATCGCTCCAATATTCTCTTAGCTCAAGATACTGACCACAATAAATGACTACATCTATGTAACTAACGTGAAAAACATATTCCAAAGTTTCAAGCACAGAAAATTAAGACTGCTACAGTTCAATGAACTACATAAAAATACATATACACATACACATCACAAAAAGACTACATCATATGCGTGGATGCAAAAATCTTTTCCTCAGCTCTTGCTTAGCCCACTGAATTCTGAAAAGCCACATTTTTCATGGCAGTTATTTACACAGGAAAAGCTCTTCTCAGCTACATTAGCATCAAATGATATGTTAGACGTAAAAGTTAGGCTTTCTTGGCTAGCGAGGTTAATTGGAGAACTGCAAGTATAAAAGTATTCTGATTTAAAGGTAGGAAAGAAATGAGAGAGTTGGATTTACTTTCAGGTACGCAACTGTCTGCTGACAAGCATGCTTGAAACCACCTCTCCTCGCCGCCTCAAATATTGACTCTTTGATAAACAGCATTTTCTATCCTGTTCCAGAATACATAACAAATCTTAGGGTTTCTTACTTTATTTGGACTGCAGCCTTTGGGTAACGTTTTCCTCTTCTGCTAGACTATACTTTGACTTGTTTGTTTCTGAGTAAGCCGCGCTCACTAGTGCCATATAAAAGCATTAAACATTCTCTGTTCAACAGTTGCATGTCTGGAGGACTTTGGTCTTTATGTTAAAGGCATATTGCCACATTCCACTTCCAGCTTTTTAAAATCTGCTTCCCATCTGATTAGCTTTTATCTACACATTACATTGCCCCTGTACCCATCTTTATTGTATGCAGTATATGAATAATACAGGAGGAAAATGGCAAATCTTCTTTCTAGTGCTAAGATCTTCTCTTTGTTGCAACAAAACCTTCTTACATGAAAGCAGGCAGTCTTTTATCCCTTACTGAAACAGATAAACAGTTTGCTCTAAGCTCTGAAAAAATACAATGGAATAATTTTTCTTTTTATCTATAAAATACATTTAGGCATTAGCTGCTAACATTGCAACACCAATTGTACAAGTTCAATACGGTTTAGTGACTTTTTTTTAATAATCAAGCAACCAGAAATACTGCATTCTAGGAGTAAGTGCATTGCTCCCCCTTTCCAATATCTGAGCAAGACTGAATTAACCTAAACACACAAGCTTTAAAGTACAGGGTTTAGAATGCAGGCTTGTTATATTTTAATAGTCATTCTAATACCTTTAAGACTATCGCTATACATCTGTTTAATTCCAATTTATCAGCTTTAACTACTTCCTAGTAAGAGAGTGATAGCTAAATATTATCACGTGAACAATTTAGATTATTCTGCATGTATTTCAGCTTATTTGGCACACTTTAAAATATAGCACAGGAATAATCTTTCATGGAGCCGGCTGGATTTCTTTTACTTTTGATGGCTGCTTTGTTTTTGTGTGTTGTGAGATAATTCACATGCAGTGCTTTAGGTCAATTTAATTTGGTCTTAACATAACTCTAAAGGAGCATTTCCTTTAGAACCTTTGGAAGAGAAAGCCTAAAGGCTTGTTTAAAAAAACCTGCAAGAGAAACCACAAAATACAAAACGATCACTTAACTAAAAGCAGTGTAATTATAGCAAAACCAATGTCTCCACGACTGAAATTATAGTCTAGTTTTGACTCAGCAGTGGTTTAGCCAAAAACATATACTTTTGGAGGTAAAGAATTAAATCTTAATGATTGTATTCCAATGATTTGGAATTTGTAAACTAATAAACAGTTACAAAGATAGAGCTTTTATGTTTCATGACCTGATTTGCTTGATTAGCGTAGAGACATGCTGCACTTTCAAAAGAATAGTATTTTAATTTCGTTAGTCACCACTTGCAGCATTAGCAGCATCAACACCACTTATACCAATTCAAATGCCTCTCATCCTAAACTGAAACCCCTTCTTACTCATATACCCTTCATAAGGCTGCAGATGGCTATTACTATTCGCTTCCATGTATTTTGCTCTTAGCTTCCATTAAACAACTACAACTGTACAACTTATTTCAGGATTGAGTACATTTCCATATGCACAAATCCCATTTGTTTATCTTCTCGGGATTACTGCAGTCAATAATCCGTCATAGTGAAGAGATCAGTTTTCTAACACACAGATCTCCAGACTAGAATCATAAGCAGCTAAATTTCCCCATTAAGGTAAGTCCAATGTAGCTACATAAAAGTACTAGCAGATCTCCTTTTCACTCCCAATACAGCAGTGACTTCTACTCCTATGGAACCGGACAACATTTCACTTAACAAGTATTCATGAACAACTATTAGATTCCCAAAAGGCACATATATCCTCTCTGTCTGTCCAAAGTCAGAGTTTCAGCCCTCCTTCACCGTCCCTTTCATATTCCCTTTACAGTTACTTAATTTGCACGAGAAGTCAGATTTCACTTGGCCTATCTACTTCCTAACAGCAGCAGCAGTGAAAAAACTACAACCCAGAATATGAATGCATTAAAGAGGTGGCTGTGACCAGATTTTACCCTTTGAGCATACCTGAAAGGCAGGAAGCAACTATGGGAAATCACTAACTAAGAAAGGAAGAGAAAAAGATATATATATACCAGGCCAGGACACAGACAGCTATCGTACTGTTTTACCCATCAACTTAAGTAATAGCTTCTTTTACCCTCTATTAGAGTAGAGGGTCAAAATTTATTCTACAAGACTAAATTATAATGAAAATAAAATCTGAAGTTATTTTAAGGCTCTTACAGACTTCATTTTAACGAAGCCTGCATGTTTTCTGTTTCTAGTAAAACTAATAAACCTTTCCTGAACGAAACTTACCTCTGTAATAGAAGAGACACAGATCCGAGAGCACAAACCACCGTTTCTTCCACAGCTTCATTCCAGTACTATCCTGTATTAGTCAAAGTGATCAAACAAGAATGTTCAGGCTGTTAACAGCAAACAGTTCATAAAGTAAACTGCACACTACATAACTGTGGTGTTGCACTAGCTGTTCATTTTCTTGGCTAAGTGCACATTTTAATGATCTTTGATTTCTCATCACAGAGCTGGTACTGAACACCAAGATGATAATCCAGGAGGCCTGAAGTTAACATAATTCAAAAAGAAATTAATTGAGAGTCTATTTTAACAAGTTAGAGACTACTTTTTACAATAAATAGTAAAATTACATTTACTTTTTAAAAGGAAATGAGTAAGGTAAAACTTAAAAAAAAAAATAAAAAACTTCGTTGTTTTCTGAGGAAATTATCTGCTGCACTTTATCCTCTACCACCACTCATATCTAAAGCAAATTTCTTTGCCATATAAAGTTTATTCCTAAAGCAATTTCATTTTCTTTTATGTTTATAACCAATTGGCACTGCACAGCTCAGAATGAAAGGCTGCCACCACTACTGCAGTGTAAATAAGCAGAAGCGCTGCAGCATTCACATCCTGGTAGAATTAGATTTAATAAATATGTTAATCTGTTCCAAGAAGAAAGATATGTGTGAATTATCAATATGCTTGTAGTGAATAGCTTTTTGTGACAACCAAGAAGAGGGATTCTATAATGAAATCCAGAGCTTTGCATATGCTCAAGTAAAAGGTGTTTTTTTCTTTTTTTTTGTTTTTTTTTTTTTTTTTGGAGGGGGGAAGTCAGCATAATTTTTGGCCTCTTTCTTCAAGCTCTGCTCTTCTTGGGGTGGGGGGAGGAACTGAAAGAGGGAGAATAAAGGGGAAAACAAACATTAGCTAGAAAAAGTATTCAGAAAAAGTTTTTAAAAAATCTCTTTGCCTCCAAAGTTTTCATAAATAGGGTAACTGAGCACTTTATAGCACCTCACTTCTGAGGACTTCAAAGTGATTTAGCAAACGCTAACGAAGTCTGGAAGCACTGTCTATAGCAGTCAACTCCTATTTCACAGCTGGAAAGGCAGGCACAAAGCGGGGAACCAGCTTCCTCACCTCACTGCCAAGGTCACCAACTCAGCAGCGGATCAGAATGCGAGACCCTTGGCCCCAGGGACAGTGGTCACAAAAATAAATAAAATCAACCTTAGGGTCTGAAAATACCCCAAATTCTTCACCATAAAAAGATTACCTCAATCCCTTAGATAGACTTTTTAAGGAGACTCTTGGGTAATACCATGTTTATCCTGTCATTCAAAATATCAATAGGTTGTTATATGGTCAACTGTAAAATTCTGCAGGCAATGAAACACTCCAGGAGTGATTTTTCTGCCTTGTTTAGACATAGCAGATAGAGGCACACAGAGCAATTACATGGTTCCCATATTTTAAATTCTTTTCTGCTTTAAAGTAAATCCTTTCTGTACCAGTGTATTTACAAACTATTGTTTCCTCTTGATTGTGATTATGTTACAACAACTTCTCAGTAAAACCTTCAAAAAAAGAAGTTGATTCTGGGCTCAAAATTGGTAGAAAAATTACAGAAGAATGGCATTACGTGCAGTGAGATAGCACTTCCTGAGACAAATAAAACAATGTTATTTTACTATCAGAGAAACCTGCACAGACCTTCACTGTAAATTTCTGAAGGCCTGTAGATTTCTGAGGGTAATACTGATTAGCAAAACTCTTGAATAAGTTGACTTTCAATTACTACTACAGCATGGAAATACATAGTTTGCATTTCCTACAAAAAAAAACAATCAAGCATCATAGGATTTAAAACATTTTACACGTAAACCGTACCCAAGGGCACGCATCTTAAAATATATCTGTTTGGCGCTAGTAAAATAATTGTACACTAAAATGGACTATTAACATAGCGTATATTTTTTTAGAAAAGTAACATTTTTCTACTAATTCATAGGCTGAACATGCATTCTGAATATTTCTCTATTGATTTTACATGAACCAAGAGACATATATACATACATAATAGCAAGAATCTTTAAAGCGTTTCACTAAGCTGCTTTAGCTACATAACTGTAACTTTCCACACATGTGAAATTCACTGCAAAGCATCTCAGAATAAAAAGCAAGATCATAGTGAGGAATTCATCAATTTACCACCAGTATCTGTCTAGATTTTTCAAGCCCTTTTTGTATTTTGGAGAGAAATACAGATAAAATATACCAGTAATTTTGCAGTTGTCTGATGCTCCTACTCACCAGAATGCTATCCAACAAGTACCTAACTAAAATATCATGCGTCAGTTCCTCCTGATTTACAGCTTCACTCTAGTATTCTTACCATTATTTTTAACACAAATAATTGTTTGTACATTATACATTAAACACCCTACAAAAAACAAAAACAAAACCCCCAAAAAAAGGTAGGGGGTGGAGAGGGGAAGAGTACCTGCTTGTAGAGCCAGCCACGTCTGACAACAGGTGCATTAGGATTCCTCTTTATTGAGTTTGATCTTTTTCCAAAATTATGAACCTTCTTTGAAGATCGTGATGTCTAAATTAAATTGAACAGGTTAAAGAAAACATGATGTCAATATCTGTTGACTTTAGAAAAATCATAAAGTGTTTTTTTTTCCCCTTTATCTTTTCCTTTGTCTTTATTTCCTAATCTTTCCCTTATATGTGTCCCTCTGGAGGTTTGCGGAATATGAACCATATTCCTTTTTTAGATAATTATTATGGTACTGATGTCTTCAGCATTTCTTTCTTTTTCCTCTGCAGGAAGTTTAAAGATAACTCCCCAGATAAGTACTTAAGAAGATATATTTTTTTAAGCAAGAAAAAACAACAAATATCTATCTGACCTTCTTAAAAAGTAGGTCGAAAGTCTACCAAACATGCGTCAGTTCCTCCTGATTTACAGCTTCACTCTAGTATTCTTACCATTATTTTTAACACAAATAATTGTTTGTACATTATACATTAAACACCCTACAAAAAACAAAAACAAAACCCCCAAAAAAAGGTAGGGGGTGGAGAGGGGAAGAGTACCTGCTTGTAGAGCCAGCCACGTCTGACAACAGGTGCATTAGGATTCCTCTTTATTGAGTTTGATCTTTTTCCAAAATTATGAACCTTCTTTGAAGATCGTGATGTCTAAATTAAATTGAACAGGTTAAAGAAAACATGATGTCAATATCTGTTGACTTTAGAAAAATCATAAAGTGTTTTTTTTTCCCCTTTATCTTTTCCTTTGTCTTTATTTCCTAATCTTTCCCTTATATGTGTCCCTCTGGAGGTTTGCGGAATATGAACCATATTCCTTTTTTAGATAATTATTATGGTACTGATGTCTTCAGCATTTCTTTCTTTTTCCTCTGCAGGAAGTTTAAAGATAACTCCCCAGATAAGTACTTAAGAAGATATATTTTTTTAAGCAAGAAAAAACAACAAATATCTATCTGACCTTCTTAAAAAGTAGGTCGAAAGTCTACCAAACTGTAAAGAGTGAACTAGGAGAGCTAATATTAATTGTGAAAAAAAATTCACTCTTTGGGCAAGAAAATTCTACTCTTTCCTGCAAGTAGGGCTTTGACGCAAGCAAATGGGCTCAGATTTCCACAAGGTGTAATTCCAAGACTTCTCACTGGGTCTCCCACCTTTCATAACACATACCATAATTTTTTTTTAATTCTCTCTCTTTCCCCTTAAGACCCTTTCCCTCTATAATCTCTTGGCTGGTTTGAATATTGATTGCTTCACCTGCTTGTTCTAGGACTTACTCTGAAGTCTTTTGCCCTGTAACCCCAGCGCTCATTTCTGATGTTGATTGTACCTTTCATATCCTTATAGTTACGCAATGATCACAGATGGTTATGAAGACAAACAGGATAAATAACCTATCTTGGATTTCATTCCTCCTCAACATCAGAAATCAAAAGAAACGAGAGGAGGCATAAAGAAAGCTACAGTGCTTTGCCATTCACACTTCATTCTTTTCCGCTTACATTTATCAAGTTTGTTCTGCGGTTAAAATAGTTGAACATTTTTGTTTTAAATTCTATAAGAATTGGCGACTCGGGGCCAAGCAATGTGGCAATAACAATATCCCATTCTGCAAAAGTAAAGTTCAAAATAAGTTTTTCAAGCCGTGTTCTTGGCTTTGCTCCAAATCTACCACTTTAATTTGGACGATACAACGCTGTGCTTCACGTTCCCCATCCCTACCACTGAGACATTTAACTAATCACAAGGTTATGCAAAGTTCCTAAACGAGATCCTCAAATAGAAAGGCTAAACAAATATGCTATCAGTTTTTGTTGCAAATTAGGGTGTAGGGTTTCTCTGTGGAAATTCTTTCAACATTTACCGCAACACTGAGTTGTGTTTTACACATGCTTCAGAGGGAATTCCAGCATAGATTAAAAATTCTAAATTGAAAATTGTAATTCAAAATGATGGGTAGCTTTTGCCAATAATACTATTCCATTCACTGAAGAACACAAAATAGCTTAGTCTAAAAGGAACGTTACAGAAAATTTCATGGTGTCCTAGATTTAAGACAAACGTACAAAGCAAAATAAGGTTGTGGGTTTTTTTCTTTTTTAAAGAATCAGGTAGGAATATAAAAAAATTAAGGTGGTTTTTTTAATTTCACTGAGAAATACAGAAATTTAACTGAACTCAGTTTGGAAAGCAAAATGGAGCAAGTAATTAAAAAAAAAAACACTCAAAATAGAAGTTCAAATCTTTAGCATTTTCATCCAGAAAATTCTATCATTGTACAATGGACAAAGGTTTATAAGAAGCCAGGATAAATTAACAGACCGATAGCTCTATAGCAACATTCCAAATTTTGGATGGCTGAAGTTATGAAGCTGTAAAAAAGAATACACAGAGAACCTACAACAATCCAGAGCACATAAGATTAACTCTCTATCCAACTCAGCTACCTTGCACGGCCACTATACTGGCACACCACACGAGAGCTGCTTCAAGACACCGATAAGCAATTTATAGCACTGATAAGCAATTTATAGCACTCATACCTGCTCTATTATTTGGTATCAAAGGTTCAGAAACCTCTCAGAGTATTCCAGATCTCCTGTGTTTGTAAAATGGCTAATGTATTAGGGATGCTTCTGAAAATACAAACCAGCTTAGTACTATTAGTATCAATTCTACTAAAAAATTCAGATCATTTAAATAGACTTCTCCTCAGCAGGTCTGATAACAAACCAGATTGTCTCCAGCTTCACTGAGCTCAGAATAGAGTTTTAAGGGGCTGGTTATACATCTTACCAACTGTGAATACAAACTTCCATTAACTGAACAGAGCACCGCAAGTGTTTTCTAATTTTAGTTATTACAGAGAACACTCTTCTAGATGACTCATGCCATTATTTTACCACACTCTGCATAAAAAGAGTATCTGCTCACAAGCAGTTCTGAGCCTCAAGACAGTAAGTATTTTAGGATACTGGAATATCAAGGGTGTATATATAAACTAATTATCACTTCTCAAACTTGTAAAACCATATCCTTCTCTTTCCCTCCTCTCATTATGCCCGGGATCCCCTGGCCATCCTATGCTCCCTCACACACACACACATCTAATATATCTCAAACTAGGGAAACAGGAAAAAAGAAAAGAAATAAAAACGAAGGGTTTCAAATACTTTTCATCCTACAGCACTAAAAATATAGCCCATAGGACATATTGCACAACTCTGGCTTCTGAAAGTGGCAAAGAAAGCCACATCTGGTACCATCTGACCCCCGTTCTGAGGAATGGCCCTAGCTGCCGTGACGCCTCTGAAAGCTGAGCCTATGGGACCCAGCACAGCTCAAGTACTGAGAAAGAAAATATAAAATCCAGCCACCGATATCCACACTTTCCCCTACCTGGAGAAAACAAAGGCTAGCAGGGTGCTGAACTCTGGGCAACAAGATCAGTCAGCACCTGGGGCTGCACGCTCAGTTACTCTGTAAGTTGCTCTCTGCCTAGCTGGTAGGTGACAGAAAGTTTACCAAAGCTTCTTCCTCAGTTTCAGAACTACTAAATTCATCTATGAAATGGTCTTCCATTAACTCAAAAATAGATTAAGATTAAACTTATTATTTCTATATTTTAAAAACAAGAGAATCTTACTGATAAAGAGGAAATTCTCTGCATTTGACATTAAAAAAAAGGAATCTAAAATTTTTCTCATATTCAACTTATGTTTAAAAATATGTTTCTAAGTCTTTAAGGCTGAGATGATCTCCCAAACCACAAACCAACATGATGCTGCCTTCTTGATTTTGTAGACAATTTCCATGCCTTGCTGCTCTCCATGAGCTGTGCGGGTTTCTGCCTCAGCATTTCAGCTTGCACTGGAATGGTCTCCCCATCATTCCCCCGACTGTGCGCTGGTTTGCATTGTACGCCAAACTGGATTTCTCTGGCTAAAATAAAATGGAAGATGCACAGGGGGCACTACTCGACTAGCCTGGAGTTAACCCATGCAAGTAATGTAATATTCAGCTGTGAGCACTAAGTTTTTGCTCTATACATTTGATCCTGCATGCACACAAGCACACCTACCTCATGACTGTTACTCTGAAATTTCTGACTAACCTGAAACATGATATAACACGCATGACTCTATCTCAGCTGATCATTTAAAGCTGTACTGGCTTGAGCACTCTATGAATATCTAGAAAAAAAATTGATGAATTTTCATAAACAAACTGACCCATGTCCTAGATGTAACGGAGACATGAGGAGCTCTCAGCAACTGTCTTAGGCTAATATTCCATTCCAGTTACTATGAGAAAATCGTCAGTGTTGGTCTGCTGATAGTCAGGATACTCATGAAGAGCAGGGGAGAAGAGCTGTGGAGGGGCACTGGTTGCATTGCTTATTTTATTTACCCACTAAAAAGCTGATATCCTAAATGAGGTTCTGGACACGCAATCATATTTGTCTAGGTAAGGATTTTAACTGCAAAATATAAAGAAGGCAACCGCAAAAACTGTTTCTTCATTTTAAAAAGAAGGCTGGAAACATACACCTCTTGTAGCAGTCACAAGCCTACATAGATCTTCCCTGCAGCCAGAGGCCTGTGCCAGTGACTCCAAATTTAGAAATACACTTCAGGCTAACAGGGAAGAAAGCAGCACTTAGCAGAGCACTCAGACCAGAACTTTACAGTTGTATTTGGCCAGCATCTGTAGCGTGGGGAAGGAAGAGAACATTTCCACCAGGGAAAGATTGGTTTTGCCTCACCTTATCTTTTGTATTAGGCTCTAATGAGTATTTCCAGCACAAAGGAAAAACTTCTCCAAGTGCCATCCCTATTCTAGATCAATTAGCGTTAATAAAAGTTAGAACGTATTTCCACATCCGTCAACTGTCCAAAACTGTAGCTGTACTACAAGAACTTTTATCTCAATTCCTCATTGTCTTCCAATATTAGATATGGTCATGACTTTTCTCTGAAAACAGAATCACCTAAAAACACAGGTGTGGCAAAAACATGAAACATTCTTCTGCTCTATAATTCACTTTCCTCACCAGTATCTTACTTTGCTTTTCTTGTGCTGCAATACACACCCACCCCCACATATTACATTCAAATATTGATATGATAGCCCAAGAATTTCAAGCTCTTCTGTTGGAGGGATGAACAGAAAAAGCATAAAAGAAAATTAGTTGTGGCATCCAGGTACAACCAGTGGGTGACTTCTAAACAGTTTTTTTTTTTTTTTTAAATATCTTATTCAACCTGTTGGCCTGTTGGTTTGTTGAACCACCAAAACAGTCTGACTAATATTAGCTGTGGTTCTACTTTGCAAATATTCATCTCCTGAAAACAAAACTATTAAAAAGGTGCAACAGCAATTCAGACAAGTTTACATCTGAAAACTGATGAACAATAATAGCGCATACAGTCACATTAACCACATTAATATTTTAAATGCATTTAATAATTGGAATAAGAATGTAAAGAAATTACAATGATTACCCTGCAGCCATCTCAATTTCCTTCTAAAACACTACAAAACAAATATGCTAAAGGGCATGTTCTTTTAACTACTCACTTGAGACTATGGACTTTGTTATTGTTTATAATTTACCTGTGATTCTTTCTTTCCCAGCAACATTGATAGAGTAAGGCACTCCTTGAAAGCTAGGGGCCTTTTCTCATTAAATAATGGTTTTCAAATGTAAGTCAAGGCTAATGAGAATTTGTAACAACAAAACACACTTAAAGCAGCTTTTTCTATATGCAAACTTGCAATGTTTCTTTTCTATAACATGAAAAATAAATTATTTCTACCCAAATTTTCCAAAATTAAGGAATGTGCAGACACTCCAAACTATATTTTCTCTTGCAGACTGGACTGATCTGCTGCATTTTTCAGAGTCAAGGTTTTCAATGCCTAGCAAAAGCATACAGATTTGGAGTTTTTTTTTTTAACTGTTAGGTAGAAAATATTTCAAGGCCTGTCTATAACCACTGGCCAAAGCTGTCAACTTGGTGTTCTAGTTTTTCCAAAAGACTACTTGACTTTAAGTGCGCTTTCTTTTTATGAAGGCTCTCCAAAAAGGAAAAAACACGCACAATATTCTCACCAGCTTTGTCTACTAATCTTGAAGTATATATTATTGAATCCATCACCTGGATACACATCTGGGGATTTGCCTTAACCTTCCTAGAAGTTGGATAAAGGGAGAAACTGGGACATGATGAAGCAAGGGCAGCCTAGGAATGGAATCCAGGACTTGTACTTCCAGCCCAATGACTGAGAGTCACGATGTATGCACTTAAAACCCTACCACACGGTCAACACTCACCTCGTGTAACCACTTACAGACCATTACAGTTCTTTGCATTTTACCTGAAGAAAACTGGTTAATTGTTTGTGCCTCTAGCAATTGCCACAACAACGCTCACCCAGGTGTCTGAGCAGTCACTCAAAATTTTGCTGTTTCACACTTATTTGATTGGAAAGGTTAGATTCCATAAACAATTTAAGTAGGTGCAAGCCACAAGATCCAAGATCTCTGACAAAAATTACAGCTTCAGTGATAATTTGTTCCAGACACCTGAGATTTCAAATTAAACATGAAAGGAGCCAAATGCCCTAAGACAGATATATGCTTTGTTTCTCTTTTCAGATGGAGTACTAATAATAAAGTTTCTCTGTGAATAGCACTCTAGTACCTTATGGAATAACTGCATATTTTTACTTTTAATTTAACATAAACATAAAGACTTACTCTGCCCACAGGACTCATTGGATGAGCAGCATAATCTGAGGTCAAACTATAGTTAGTTGCTTCACATATCATGCTGCCTGGTCGCTCCTTCTTTTCTTCAGATGTCATAGCTGCAGCAGTCCTGAAAATAGAAGATGTAATAGCACCAGAACATGCTGTGTGTGCAGACTGCTATTAAAAAGCATTCCTAGATGTTGCCTAATAGGAATTGTGTCCTGCTTTCCCCATTTTTAAGCAATTCACATTCCATTGTAAAGGTACCTGCACTGTGTTTTAAAAAGGCTGTTAAATTATATAGCAGAGGAAAGCTTAAATTGATTACAGATGAATTCTCTATAATTTTAAGGGGTTGGTGGGAGGAAAAAAGATAGCTATGAGCATGAAGTGGAAAGGGGAAGACCTCATTTGGCTTTAACCCACTTGCGTGAAAGGACTAACGCTTGTTCAACTTCTCATACTCCAAGTCCCTCAGTCTTTACTCTAACCACTCTATTTCTGGTGTTGCAGCAATGGTGAGGAATAGGACGTCCAATACCTGGCCACATATAATACCTTGAGGTCGGGTATGACTGATGTACGCCTTCTCATATTGTTTAAATTTTCATGAAAGATTTTGCTGTGTATGCTACAAAATTAATGCAAAGGCAGTAAAACAGGACATTATTCAACTATTCAGAAAGTGTCTAGACTGGCCAAGAAGGTAGCCAAATGAGAAGAGACTATTAGGCAAAACAAGATAAATTAAATACCCTTGATGTTCCCTACATGATTCAAAAACAGATCCCTTGTTGTTAACTTACTGGATTGTTTTAAAAAAATATATAGACCGTTTGCCAAAACTAGAGCTGAATAACTCAAGTGACAAATGGAAAACCATACAATTATACACAGTGCAGTTCTATTCCATAATCAATTTGGGCTATGGTTTTTATCTTGAAAACTAGCATTAAGCATTCCTTTCACATAATTAAAAAAAATCTCCTTGTACGTGCTTGGGAAAAATAAAGTTTTGCAATTAGAAATCACTGCAGCATACTGCAATATTAACACATATTAAAATATATATGTATTTTATAACCTTAAACAGATGTCACTTACTGTTCATTCACAACAAAAATACAGTTGTCCTGGGATGGCTGTCCTGTTACTGGATGTTTGCAGGTTACTTTTCGTTCATTATGACTGTGGAAGAGAAATAAGAAACATATAGATACTAGATACTTAACTTTGCAACTCAAGTATATAAATCCAGTACATCAAGTATGTAAGTCCAGTGAAAGTAATTAGGAGTATTTCGTTATGACATGTAACTTCACGTCTCTCTTCATAACCTATACACATACACACTCATAAAAAGAATAATTTAAAGAATTAAAGAATTTTCATGAATGCTCTGGAATTGGATGCAAAACATTTGCGTTGTGTAGGCTAATGTTTTTGACTTTCCTACTGCTCTAGTGTTTAAAGTTACTAGCTCAAACAGCATCACTGATAATTCACTTCAGCAAAGGCTTTATATATTCTTAAATGGGATTTCAGCTAACAAGGGAGAAGTTAAACATAAACACGACATTAACTGTTCTCCAGGGGTAAAATAACAAATACACTAAAAGCAATTTTCTTCTAGCTTAGAGTTTGATTTAAAAATTTCAGATAATATGGATAAATTGACTGAAGAAGAGTGATGTGCCACAATTATACTTCTGCTTTTGCTGGTGATTCCTCAGTGCCGAGTGCGACGGCCCCCGCAGCACTCCCGCGAGTACCTTGAGCACGGCGGAGCACGTGGCTGAGGGCTTCACCCTCCTCGCAACACAAAGCTCTCACTGCGCAGTATCTCGCCTCCACCAGCTGCAGCTGTTGCTAGATCGCAGCAGCTCCCAGACAGTGGAAGGAATTGCCAAAATTCAACAGCTACCAGCTGCCACCACTCATGGAGGAAGAAATGTTTTGACTTGAGTGTCTCAGCCATCCATCCCAAATGGGGAGGGAAGGGAAGAAGGAACAAGAGGAGCCGCCTTTACTGACAAGACGTCTCCATCAGCTGGCAATTGTATCTTGTTCCTGCCGCACACCAGAGCTTTTAGACCACGGTTTCCACGCAAGTTGCAGCCCCAGTCATACTACGAGCACAGCAGGACCTGCAGGTGTGGAGCTGCCGACTGTCACAGAGGCAAGACCACGTAGCTACGAGAAGCAAGGCTGGCTGAACTGCAATGACCCCCCGTGAGCTCTCCGACCCCAAATCTAGTGAGAAAGCAGCAAAGGTGTACTGCCAAAATTTAAACCTGGTTCACTGATTAGAAAGCATACAAGCAGAAATCACACTGAGAAAGCACAAAGAGCTCACACCACGCAGATGTGTTATTCCGATATTTCCTATCCGCTTCATAATAAACGCATAACTTTTGTGCTTCTAGTGCTTCAAACAATGTATATAATCAAGAAAGTATTTTAGTATAATATAAAACACTGCAATATCTGAAATCAACATTATAAACCATGAGGAAACAATAATCCCTTTTGATAGTATTTACTTCTGCAAAACGATCTACTTATCCAAAATACGTGATAACAAAATTTTTCACGTATGTAAGATATCCTCTATAATACTATGCTCTTTTTGTCACAAGCTCAACCCTGCAAAATATTCTCAGACAGAGAACAAACACGGAAGAAAAAAAAAAATCTGCTTTAGCTGCAAGGTAGCAGAAGAGGTGCAGAACAGAAGCTTTGAGTGACATTTTATCCCTAACAGCTACTTCTTTACTGCCTTGTTGCCTACTCTTTTTAGCTTTTTAAACAATGAAGCACAACTCAGCTTGCAAACATCATGCTTTCTACCTTTCCTGCTTCCCAAAACACCTTAGGCTCAACAAGGTGATTTCTACATTCCCTTGGTTTCTTGAAAATTCCTTTGGATCACAATCATTTGGCAATTTTAGAGCATGAGTAATTGCAAGTTCCCTCCATACAAAAGCCTAATGCAACATTCAAGCTACACTCATGGACAATGGGTATTTGGGGTAAGTCTGTACACAGCTAAACTGCAAGGTTAGAAAGATAACCCAGTTGTTTGAACCTTTTTTTATTTTTGCCACGCTTCATTGGAATTTTAAAATCCTGCTAGTACCCAAATGAATGGATGTTATGGAGGTTAACTAATGAGCTAACCAACTCCGGTACTTTATCTTCTCACTAGATTCAGAAGAATTAATTTAGCTTCTAAACAAGCTCCTGTTATAAAAGCGCATCCATTCAAAGGGGGGACTGGAAAGAGACTCCTCGAGCATGTGCGTGCCATTCCTAATTGCCATGATCCAATAGTGCCATGCAAGTGAAAATGGCCCAGACTGCAGACAACTAAAAGTAACAGAATTCCCGATAAAACACCCATTTTTTGTGATTCCTCTTCTTCTTGACTTCCAAAAACTTTCTTTTCATTCTTCAAAGAGTACAGAAATAAAAAAAAAAAAAAAAAAAAGAGAGAGACATGGATCAACAGTACACAGCTTTGCCAAAATGTTGCCATCTAGCCGATGTTAAACCTTGACAGCTGGCTATCAGCTCATATCCAGAAACATAAAAATAAGTCATCAGGACTGTTGCTCAAAGACCATCGATACTCAGAGCTGCGACAGAGGTGGCACAGCCTACGTTTTGTCCAAACGCAACTGGCAGATGTTGACACAGGAACAGGCAACATTTAGAGGTCCTAAAGGGAGGTTGCACAAAATCAGAAGGGAAAAGGTGAAGCAGAAGGATAAAAGGGGGGAGAAGAGGCAATGCAATGACACAAACCTATGTAAGAATATTTTGATTCAGTCTGAAGTCACGTATAGAGTCAGTATTCCAAAAATATCAAAATATTTTTTGGGCAAAATATCGTTTCCTTTACTATTCAAACTGATTTCAAGATGTATAGAGGTGTAGCCAGTATCTCGTCTAACCATACAAAAAAGGCAAAAAATTTCAACATGGACATGAAAGTCTGTGGGATGCAAAATACTTTCTTTCTAGCATTGTAAGATTTTTATAGTCACTTCCTACTAAAAAGGTGAGAAAGATGAAGAACAATCTTTTCTTTCTCTTGAGGTTTGATGCAAATGAGGTCTTATGAGGGAACACTGAAAAATCAGCTTGTACAACTAAAATGCGTGACTGCTGCAAGCATGTTTAATTGGATAAATAGATTTTAAACACTTCCATTCGAACACTTTATCATTACTCATCCAAAATATTGCATTTTTGATGTTAATTTAGCTCATATTTTGACAAGACTCCTCCAAATACTGTGCAAGATGTAGAGTATCCTGGTAATTATTTTCATAACCCTCCTACGCAACAGGTGTAGGTGAAGGCATTTATTTTGAACTTAATCTTGCAGATGAGGAATAGCTTCATTAAAAGCTACCACTTGATATTCACAACCTCCATGACATTCAATTTAAATAGTCCTTCAGTTATCCACAAAATTTCTTTCTGGGTCCTCACACAAGCTCCATATTTTAGATATTACGTTATAAAAACACATACCACTACTGTATCTCAGTGGGAATAAGGCAAAAATTTTTCTGCTTAATGTAAGAGAACTTTAGTTTTATATAACCTCCAGGCTGTAATTCAGGCTTTCAACTCTGCACATTTATGTGTCTGTACTTTTACTATGTTGCAATGATTGCTGTAACTTTTGATACAAGCAGCTGGAAGCCAGTGTGTTAATTTGCTTGCTTACGCAGAGATACAGCCTCCAAGAGCTATATGGAAATAATACTCCTCTTCCTTCTCTCTTCAAACCGTCTTTGATAACACCAGAGTAACCGGAGTAGCTACATACATACATACATTGCTGGGCTTATACCAAAGGTTATAACTGACCCTTACTATTTTAGCATCCATACTTAGATTGTATTGATGCTATGCTAAATGCTACAGCCAAAAAGGGGGGGAAATTGCCTGTTATGTTTTATTAGTATCCATGAGCATACTCTCCAGACTCAGTACGTGGCATGAACCACTACTCATTAATATTTGCCACTGGGAGGTGTTGGGGTCCAGACGTCAGCACAGCTGGCTAAGATAACATTACAAATATGTATTTCAACAGAAAATGAATCATAGTTCTTGCATGTGTCAAGACAATATTCTGTTCTTAATTCCAGTAGTAGTCTTGGACAGTGACCTAGTATAAAAGAATTTAAAAATAAAACAAAAAATCCAACAACAATAAACACTAAAATAGCTCAGAGCCAAGTTCCAGTTTCAGCTATCTCAGTGCAACACAACTGATACCAATTTATCAGGACAATTTGACCTCTTTCTCATGAATTTTTAAGCTTTTCTTCCCAATCTGTTCCTCTGAACATTGCAAGCTTTGGCATCAGTTAGCAAAGAACATCACTTAGCTCAGCTTTGGCACACAGACAAGCCCTCTGAACATAAGGAATTATCTTTTTCAGGTTAGAAGTTCACAGCAACCTTGAATTTGACTCAAGTTGTTTGCTTTTTATCTAATCACTTTTCCTCTCCTTTCCATCCCTCTAGACACTCCTACTCTCTTTAAAAGATAACATTATTTTACCTATTCTCACTAATGCTAGAAACACTCAAAAAACCTTGTAGGAATTTTAATCTACTCAGTAAATTACAGTCAGTAGTAATCTTTTTAGTGGCCAAATGTGATGCAAGGACCACTTAAAAAAAAAAAAAGCCCTCAAACAGACAATTCAAATAGCATTATCCAATTTTTAAGTAGTAACATGCTATACAATTCCAGGGGCACCACTTTTCAACAAAAGCCCTACGCAATTAAAAGAAATGAGTCACTTAATATGACCAGAATCCCCTTTCACAGCCAGGATTGCCTAGCTGTGTAGGGCAAGAAGGGAGAAAAGCAGTGATGAGAAGAGCACCCAACACGTTCTGCACATGATTTCACTTATTTCCACATGCACTACAGCAGTGTTAGAGCATCAAAAAGGCTACACCCTATCGCTATTGCACAAGCCTTGTGGGCCAAGGACTTTTGGAACAGTGTTTTTTGTCCTTCTCTGACACTCCAACTTTGAATTAATAGATAAGGTATACAACAATAACGGCAGAGAAACTTGGTATCATGCATGTAACTGAGGAACAAATATAATTCAGTTTAATATCAGAACAGTACACGCCCCTATCTTTCC